TTACACGGATTATAAAATTATATTATATATAGTTACGACCGTACACTGTTGTAAATTCAGTATCGTTTGAACTTTTTCTCGTATCCTATTAGTATATATAGCTTTTGAATGATTAAATACCTAAATGGCCATGGCGGGTGAGGAATAAATTTGCGAACGTTTCGTTTATTAAAAAAAAAAAAAAAAACTAATTTTCCATAAATTATAAAAAGACGTTTGAACGGTACAGTTATAACACTGCATTTAAATCATTCGAACACTTATAATTATATACGTATGTTGACAATGAATAATGATTATAGGGACGTTTTAAACGCAATAAAAGTGGTCGTCGAATACATTCCATCGGGGAAGAGGGGTTTAATCGTCAAAACGTCCTGCGTAATGGTATTGAAGGTAAAATTGAATGTACACACGTCGAATTTTGTTTTGGATTTAACGGTTTAGAATTTAACGCGTTCTCTCCCACCTCGGAAAACGTATTAAACTACTCAGGGGACCTGTAATTTCTATTATCTAATATGAAAATAACTTTCCATTTATAATACAATATACTATAATGTACAGGTCATCTAGCAGCGTATTGTAACGTAGTAACAAACGATAAATTTACAATTTGGACGGAACAATTGGACAGCTGAAGAGGCAATCTTTGAAAAGTTTACAAATTATTAATCTCTCGCCGGCCGCCGGCTATGGTTGCAGCTGCTGCACACCTTATTTACTATATTAAGAAAATGCCCGCCCAACAGTTGCGGACAACGCGGGGCTAGTTAGATCTGCAGTCGGAAAAATAAACTTTCAAAAACAATTCTACTCTTTGCCACCAGTTTGACTTCGAATAAGAACGTAACGAACTCCTTAGAAAATGATTTCGATAACGAACGTCAATTATTCTGTACAATACTCGCTCCGTCCGGAAACCCGGCGAACTCCGAGTAAATATATAGTTTAGAAAATAAAATACGAAAATAATTTGGCTTTCTCCCAGAATCCTTTTCCATTCAAAATTCCCAGAAAGTTGGCATTTCTATTATTTGGTTTTTATTGAATACCTTAATAAGTAATTTTAATCGGAGAATAATAGATTTAGCTAACCCAGATAACATATCCATAACGATAATATTATATTGATATCAATTTTTTATCAAAAAAAATGACATTATTAAATATATATCGATAGTATATCTAAATATTTTTAAAATGATAATGTGAATATATTAATAATACAACATTATAAATTAAATTTTTAAATAATATTATGAATATATTATTAAAAACGAATTTTTGAATTACATGAATAATATAAAATCATTTATGAAATTATAAAATAAAATTCTAAATTTATAATCATAGCATTGTTAAACTAATTCTATATTTCTATGTGATATTCTATCATAGCTATGATAATAATAATATACAATAGTATAGATATATATTTTCTACGTTGGAACCCAGCAGTTTACTATCGGGTTTATCACAATCTATGCCCGCAGCTGCATAAACAATCTATATAGTAATAGCAATATTAGCGTTTTCTGAGTGTAGACCAAACTGTTACTAACGGAACCAAATTGGAAATTTTGTTAATATAAACAAATCGTATTAAGATTAAAAGTAAGCCAAGACCATAACGGGTCGACCGAGATTTACTTCTCATCTCCATACATAAAATATCATATATCAAAAACATATAATTTATAACTTCTATTATTATTGTATTTGTTCATTACATTATATTATACAATATTGTAGCCAATTTTTTTTTTTTTTTGAGGGCATTTATCAATTTTTTATAACTAACCTAATTTTTTTTAACGATCAAATACACCGAAATTACCAATAAACAAAAAAGAGGGACCGCCTCCACCACCCACTCCATTACTCTTCTGGCACTGGTGTGTACTATTCAGAGAAGATTAAAGTTCCTGTTTTCGAAATGTCCACAATTTCAAGATGTCATTGTATAGTTAGGTGTCTATATCATAATATTTTTGAATTTACTTATATAGTCATAAAAATCAACTTCTTAATAACAAAAATTGCTAAAAAACGTAATCCTATTTTAAAAATAATTATATTTTAAACTCAGCAGATAATTAAAATAAAAGCAATTTATTTTAAGTGATACGAAAAAAAAGTATTATTTCATGGCATTAAATACTGCATAACACGGTACTGCTATACAATGACTACACAAAGAAAAAAAAAACTTATTAATAATTTGTTTTACGTCAAATTGGACGGACGTTACGAGAAAGCGCACAAGTAAATAATATTATTGAAATGTTGTTGACAGACAGAAAACATAAAACTAAAAAATCAAAAAAAATCGCACACATCAAAGTAAAACCAGTAAATTCCTCGCTGCGTTTACAATTTCAATTGGCATTTACCGAAATCGGTGTTAAAATATGATTCTGTTCGATGATTGTTTATCGAAAATTCCAAAAAAGTCGCCATATTTAACATGTTAATTATTTCGACGGGGTGGCACGGCGAACGTGAAAAACGTTTCCGAACGTAAAATTAATCATTGTCCAATATATTATTGTCATGTCGTCGAAGGAAATTTCAACGATTCACGAGCGAGACCGACCGAAATGAACTGTAAACGTGGTGGAATGGAAATAACTTGCGAAGAACCTGACCTTTTCACACTCGGACTCGGAGGTTCCCCAAAAAGACAATTTACTGCAATACTATAATGGACAATTTGATGGACAATATTTGACAAATTTGATATAAATGGACATTTTGAACGAACGGTTTTCGACCTGATAACGACGACGTTTGGGATATTTCCGCGGACATGTTGTAGTAAAATATGAAAGGATACTGTCAATCGACAATTTGGCGAACGACGTCTCATTGCTCCCTGGAAATACTTTTGTCGTGGTAGATCCCGTCGCTTATACTACAACAGTCATGTATTTCTGATTCTGTAGTTATACAGGACGATCGATAGAACGTTATTTAAATGACTTCAACTCGTCGAGCTCAACTGATATGACTGATATAATTTGCACTGATATTGTATAACAAAATGCATTTTTCCTTCAAAATGCAACTTTTATCATAACTCATCGTGTGGGATCGGCGGAAACGCGTTATGTTGATACAAGGTTCTGATATGAGAAGCGGTGAAACTTTTTCGTGGTTTACAGTGTAACGAAAAAACAATGTTATAGAACAACATAGAATTATTCGTTTTGTTAACACCGATACAAATCGGATTTGATTGAATTTTGAGTTACGCGTATTGCGACACAAGCGCAGATCTGTACATTTCACTGCGTGATGAATTTGTGAGGGTGTGTAATGTTATTGTGTGCGGGTGTACAATTCGGCAATAAGTTACGTGCATAATATATACGGTGTACTGCAGTATGCGGTGACGTTGCTGACCTGCTTTGTGATTCGGTCCGTTTGTTCGGGACGTTTGTCCACTTGTCGACTCGGTTCGTGTGGAACGATTACATGATAATATTGTATATAGGTATACCATTCAATATAAAACTCACCCTGTATACGTGTATACAGGTCTCGTTTCCTAATCCTCGTGATCGCACCACACCGGTGCAGCGTGTGCGTGCGTGTGTGTTTAAACAAACTTTGTCGGAATGTATTTGCATTCATAAACCGTACACAGTATAGGCACAGACACGGGCACACCGTATATACTTAATAGTATATTATTATGATAGCGGAAAACGAGACGATATTGGCGTAATCGATCGTCCGGGAGGGGGGGAGTGGTATAGTGGGCGGGAGAGGACGAGCATACACGAAAACGAGAATCGAGGGGAATAAGTAATAAAGGGGGAAAGAAAAAAAAATAAAGTAAAGAAATAAAGAAGAAATATATATATATACGTATATGCACCGAGCTGTAAAGCGTATAGTCGTATAGAGGAACAAAAAAAAAAAAAAAAAATAAAAAAGGAAACGGTTTCGATGCACATATTATGTAGTATACCTATGTTTACTGTATAGACGACCGTGTGCGCGCCGGGCAAACAAGCTCTCCATTGTTAATGGCAAACATAGTTATTGGTAAAAATCAATATCCCGGGTTTAATTGATTCGCCGGGGCGAGGAGTGCAGGTTTCCGGACGGAGGAAGGAAGCGACTGTGTGCTATACGCGCGTGTTCCTACCTACGAGCAGCTTTTGTGTAACAAGCCAACAACGACGACGACGGGGACGACGATCGAACGAGACCGTTATCGGCCGCCTAATGCGATAATAGAATAATGCCGTACGACATACGGTGCGGCATTTTGGAAACGCGATCGAATTACGGTGCGCACGGTTATATTTGTACATTACCCGGTATACACGATGGTATACGGTTCAATAACACGACGCCGCGGCGTGTTGTAATTTCGTTTTTAGCGCGCGTTATTATAATAGATTTACTGCGGCGGTCAAAGCGGGACGAAACTGCGAAAGGGGCGACCGTATTTACCGAAAATCGGAGGACGGCGTCCCCGAGGGGACGGGGTTGCCCGAGTGCGTCCCGAAATGATCCTTTTTCAATGTCCCGGATGCGTCCGGAATACGGGATCTCCCGAGTGCATCCCAATAACGCAAATGATTGTTTTTTCAACGCAGCCCGAATGCGTCCCGGTTTGTTCAGAGTTACCCGGGACCGCACCGCGAAAAGGTTCTCCTGCACGCATTTGTTCTTGCGATTTCTATACTAAATATAGGGTTTGAAAATAAACTGTATCCCTCCCACAAAGAATATTTTCCTACTCGTACACCCGCTCAGTAAAAGTAAAACTCGAGTTTTTTTTGGGGTTTTTTTTTTTTTTTTTACTTGATATTATTATTGTTATTATCGATTTTTCACTCAATCGCATAAAGTCAGAAAAAAATCCATTCGTGCCCAACCGGATTTTTAACCGGCTGCGGTCGGGGTCTAAATCTCCGCGGTCTATATAGCGGATACAATAATAATCATTATCGTAAACCGTGATTATAAGCGGATATACTAGCATAGTTTTACCTGTTAAATTATTATCATTATTAGTATTTGTTTTCGAACAACGGGTGCACGCGTAACACGATATTTATTCGGACGTTATTAAAACGTCCACACACACCCCGGAATATTGTCTGGGGAAAACGGGTGCGTGTGTCGCACGCGAGTTTACTACGGCGACGAAACCCGGATGAGGGGGCGAAACGGAAGAAAACGAGAGTCGACAAAACGGCGTCGTCACGGCGCGGTGTGCGCGAGATAATACCGAAAACCCGACGAAATGTGTGGAGGGTCAGAAAGTGAATATCGGTCCTTTGGTTTTATACAATACACATAGGACGGATAAGGTATTCGCGGAGTTATTAATTAAATCTCGGACCGGTAATGATGCAAAACGTCATTGCCGCGCGCCGCCGCTCTACGACCCTCCGTGTCGTCGTCGTTGTCGCCGAAGAAAGTTTACCCGGGCAAACAATATAATACGCAGGTACGTACGCTCGCTACGGTCGTATATATAATTAAAACAGCCTGTGAAATTTCCTTTCAAACGAACTCTTGCTCGACTATTAATATTATACTTAAACGCGACACGATTGTTATTAAATCGCCTGAGGGTTCGTTGCACTACACCGCCGCACGTACCGCAACGGCGCCGCTACCGTTCGATTCGATGTCCCGAGGCTAAAAAAACAAAATTCGCCGTTTCTCGATGTAAAACGGAACCGACAGAGCGACGAATTATCATTTAAAAAAAAAAAAAAAAACAAATACCACCCCAATATATACGTTGTAATATTTGTGTACCCCGGAGAATATTATTATATTTCAACGCTGTAATAATTTCGCCGATATAAATGCCAATTTACCGCGCCGAATCAAATATACAACACTCGGATATTTTGCGAAAAACTTGTTAGTTAATGGTGGTACGAAATAGGCGATATAGTATATGGCAATTCAATGTGATAGGTTATAAAATGGCGGTGCATGGATTAAAATGACAATGATAACCAGTTCAACCGATTGGCGCGCATCACGCGGTTGATAGAACCCTCGATAACAGTGACGTAATGCGTATTTTATCGAATTTGACTGTCTTTATCGCGGCGATCCTCAAAACTGTGCTGCGACGGTAGGCAACATGGTGGTACGCAGAAAAACGCACAGTAGTAAACGGAAGGCCACACGGTAACAATAGGTACAAAGAGAAGAAAAATCAATCAATATTCGTACAAATGTTTTTCAATAGATCAAATAATATATTTTTTATGTTGATACATTATACTGAAGTATTTTACTGTCTTGTACTCTTATAGTTTATAAATAAATGTAAAACACGAATTGTTCAATTTTTAATTTTACGTGGCACGTGACAGATTACATACATTTATAAATATGGATTATAGCGCAATAATTATACGTATTACGTCACACGCAAGTGGTACACGAAATTCAAAGATTGAGAACCTTTCTGGTCTATCTTCCGTGGTGAGGATCTGAGGACCAGGTATAATGTATTAAGCCATTTTATATATTTTCAATCGAATATTAGTACAATACTAATTGGAACGTTCTTTTAAATTCGAACAATGCACTTGACATTACAATTAATAATACATCATGATAAGCCTTAATAAAGTAGACAACAGGTAAACGATAGACCGTCTGGATATAGCTATTATCTCCGCTATATCGTACAGAGAATCTAAAAAAAATGTGGATTTTCACGCTGGCTAGTAAAAACAATATACAACAGAAAGGAGAGCCGATACCAGTAATATTTCGATTACCCATAGACGAGTATACTCTACAAACGCGTTGTGCGAGCAGGATATTCTCACACCAAAGGTACCTATATACTCGGCGCGTCCGTTCGAGTATAAAAGCGATGCGTGTTGGCGGACAAACATTTCAAACGTTCGGTGACGTGTTAAATTCCGCAAATGGACAGGAAATAGAAATATTTCCGGTTTGTAAAACGCTACGCCCTGCCTACCCTCTCGCCGCAATCCCATCGTCGAGGTGCCGCATCGCGTTGGCGTCGTCGCTGCACTGAAAGGTGATGGCGGCAGCCGTCGTTAATGTTGTTCGGTGTTTTTCTCTCTTTCGTTCTCTCTACCTGTGGATAACAAATGGATGTCGGGACTATTCCGAAGATTTAACCGTCCGGGTTGTTCGGTTGATGGGATAGGCAGATGGTGGTGGTGGCAGGAGAGGAAGAAGATTTCCTCGCACCGTATTTGAAAAATGTCCGATCCCGACGGTTTTTAGATCTCTAAAAACCCGCAACGGTCTTATAGAATCGTACCGTGGGTGATGAAACGCTATGCTATAACGCCTTTCGGTTTCTGAGAGAAACGACGCGCGTAAAGAAGAAAAACGATCGGAAATTCATGTATAACGTTGGCGGGACATGTGGGGGCAAAAAGAGAGAGCGAGACAATCGCTCAAAAAAAAAAAAAAAAAACAAGAATTGCGTTTATAAACGGGAATCCAAAACAAATGTGTATCGCTGTCCGCGATTCGCTGATGCGTCAAATTTTGAATTGAGCAACTATACTAATAAAAAAATAAAATAAGATGCTACCGCAGCTGTAGGATTTAGCACTGTTGTGAGTAAGAAAATAGTAAGGAAGAATATTTTGAGTTGTTTAATTTATATCCATATGAATATTTATAAATCATTGCTAACCAAATAGGAATCTGAGCGAATTTTGCGTGATTTGTTGTTATTTCATTAGAAAAACAATTATTAAAAACTTTAAGGAAATTCAACTTTTTTTTTCAACATAAATCAGGCACAGTTTATAAACCTCGTGTTTAATTTTTTACCATTTCTATACGTTCAAAATTATTTTATTTAACAAAAATCTAATACAAACTAAATATTTAAAAAAAAAGTCAAATGTTTATAAATAGTTCAAAAATCTTCAGGTTATTGTGAATTTGTATCACATTTATAAAAGTATTATACATGCATTCTGACTTTTTCAAATCTCTATAATGATTTATAACCGAACATCAAAAATTTTAAAACAAATTCAAAAATATTGAAACCGTTATATTTCCCAGGTTTTTTTCCGAAATTGGCAACTATTATGTATATTAGAAAGAAAATCAAATGATCTCTTCAACACATTGACCAGACAAAATTTGGTTTCAGAAAACGTCGCCATACTTGAAAAAAAAAATGATTTTAAAATAAATCGTACAATCTATTTTACTATAATAGTAGAACCAATATCACTCAAAATCCAAAAGGTCAATATTATCGATTTATTATTTATTCCTCAAAAATAATAATCGAAATTGTTTCTCGTTTTCTTCCATACGGGAAAACCGAACGGGAAAATAAAGGTAAATTAATGAATTATCGACGTGGGCAACGCCGAGCCGCGGGACGGCTAATTTTACATAATAAACAAAACAAAACTACCTGCAACAAAACGGTATAATGAAACATGTTAGGTACACGATAATCGTACACGGTTCGCGATGTTAAAGTCGTTACAGTATAGAGGGGCAATACCATAGTACACATTACGTATATGATAGTATTAAGGGGCGTGCGGAGCGCGTTAACCCGTTCGATTAGATCGCGGAAATGTCACGCGCGCGTTCGAACGTCTGGAAAGTTTCGGGGGGCATTAGTCCGTGCGCCCGGTAAATTATGCCGGATCGCGACCGTCGTCGATGTTATCGTGAAGTTATTGTACAACGGCGTGTGCGTACCGGCACACCCCGAGGACGTCCTCCGCGAAGACCCGTAAAGTTCGGCGCACTAATTGTCGCGGTCGAAATTATTGTCGCGCGACACGAGCGGACCGTTTCGGTACGTTATTACTGTGACAGCATTCCCCGCTCCCAACGGTCGATTCCCCGCACGACCGCCGACGTCGTTTATCGTTCGGTCACCGCGAGTGTAACGCCCGTATACAGAGTGCCCCGCGAACATATATCCGGTGTCATGTATCCCGGGATCATATAAAGACAAATAAATTCCGTTGTCGAGGGATGAGGAATATTTATGGATTTGAATCAAATATTTATATTTTAGCGAAAAAACTAAAAAAAATACTTTTTGTTTTAATGTTTATGAATAATTGTACAAGAATAAACCATATAGAATGCAGTTATTTTTAAATTTTCCAAAATAACAGAATAAAAAAATTGTTTTGAAGTTTCTCACCAAAACATAAAAATTAATCGAAATATAAATATGTGTATAGATATTAAATAACAGATTTTGATTATCTTTATTATCTTCGGAAACATCACCATACGTATGTCTTCGAGGGGCATCCTGTATAGGTACCTAAATAACTTTATCTCACGTGCGCCTAACTTATACTTTAAAAAAAACATTATTCCATGTACGTGCTATCCCTATGCATGCTACCGAAAATGGTTTTAGGACGATTTATTTTTTTATTTTTACGCTCTAACTTATAGCCGGATAAAAAACGGTTTAAAGATGAACCATCAGGACGTAACAGGGAACGATTAATGTCCCGTGGTCGATGAAAAGTAAATCGGTATTGACAGTTATTAGCCTAAAAACTTACAAATTTACGGAACGTTGACAACAGTTTCGTCAACATAAAATTATATCAATAAAAACATTTTTTTTTTCTTCTCTGAAAATTAATTGCTACTCGCTAACTGAAATGTTTTAATTTTTTTTCGTAATGAAAAAATAGTACGCCCGGGTAAAATAGAAAAACAATTGTTTTTGAATTACCTTAACCTATAGTATATAATATAGAGTTATATATAATTTATACCTACAACAGAAATAATTGAAATTGTACGTATATCTAGAGAAGTATGCAATATAATTAATGACACGTCTCTAAAATTGTTTTCAATCGAATTAAAAAAAAAAAAATCCTCAAACAGAACATAATGAAATCATTATTTCCGTAAGCTCTCCGGTTTTCCTAATTTTTTTTGTTTTTTACAATTATTAAGGAACCTACTAGGAAGATCAAAAAATAGCCCTTTAAATACACCAATTTGCTTTCAGAAGACATACTGCTATAATTATGGAAAATCTGAAAAATATTTCTAGTAGAAAAGTTATTTTACAGAACAGGAAAAAAAACGACCATAATAAATACATTCTTCGTCGAAGCTACGATCAGAAACTAAAATACTAACTAATTTAGTTTATAACCTGTGTAACCACGAGGTAGTTATCTTGTTACCACTCATGTTTTTAGCATAATGATAAAATATTGAAATCGAGGTAATATCGATTATGTTACCAATTCTTCACTGTCTTATGTATCAAAAGTACTGAATTTTCAGTCCTTACTTTCCATTTATTATAGCAATTATAGCTAGTAAATTGTACATAATCGTCCGAAAATTCTCTCGCGTGCCTATATACTTATTATGAGGGACTGCGATGTAGGTTCTGCCTTTAATTAAATTTTTTTTTTTTGAGATCGACGTTTATAAAGATTAAATTTTAATAATTTTTTGTGCCTTACGAGGCTGACGAGATTGCGACACGGTTTGGAAGACTTACGACTCGAGTCTTGCCATTCGGAACGTATACGAAACGGCGTACTAGTATACAAAGCCAAAAACTGAAATAAAACTGCTGATAACCAACAAAGAATATAATAATTTACAGGGGTAAAGGCAGAGTCAATAATAATTATTCGTTGAGAAATCTCGTTTCTGACGTGGCGCTTTTTGTTTTATCAATTATTACCGCCGCCGTCGTCATCATAGTGAGCGGAAAACGCATAACATTAAAACCAAATGTAAATAATTCGTCGTAGCGCCCCGTGTAAACACGCTTGTCAACGAAAAGTTTCGTCAAATATATTATTATTACTGTATAAGTATAAATAACAATATTGTAAACCTAGTGTATATAGTTATTCGCGAAAATGTGAACCGTATGAGGTTTGATTACCGTGGTGCAACCGAATGTTCGTTAAAACATGGCCCTTTATTGATATACGAGTAATATTACAATAATATTGTTAATACCGTTTCGTCTTGCTCGCATATTGCAGGTACAGTATAGAAATATTATGCCCCGCACTCGGTGTGCACCCGGCTATGCTGCTGTTACACATAGGATAAATAAATCGTTACAACATTGACAAATACCACGAGCGATAATATTATTCGAATATTTAATAATGTTTTCTCGTCTCGATAAAATGCCGTATTCAATGGTGCCGAAACCAGTAGTCAAGGGTTGGTGGTGGTGGATCCATATTGAGCACCTGAGTCATATTTTTTTTATAAAATTGGTATGTATGGACTATTAGTTAACAGTTGTATGGAAGTTTGTTTTGTAAACGAGAGTGGTGGTCTATACAACGTTTTACCTGCTCACCTTCATAATTTGGTGCCGCTGGCCGCATTCAAATTGTTCTTCGACACTGGGAATTTTAAAGCCGGATCCAAAAAGGTCGATTTGCATTTAACAAGCTTTTTCCTTGTTATTTGGCTGAAATATACAATTTCATTAAAATTACAAAATAAACAAATGTAGTTTTTGTATGTTTGAGCTAATTTGAGAGGGGACCTTTAACGTCTAACTTCTATCGCATAAGTATAAAACGTTTAAACATAAATTAAAAAAAAAAAATGTTTGACTACAAACTCTTACCTTGAACGTTCGTGTTATCTAGTCAATCGAAAAGACTATTCTTATGTAAAAGATAAAAAAATGAAAATAAAATATAAAATTTGTTTAAAAATATAAATAATTTTACATATGCATCGTTTTAAAGTTCCAAAAAAAAATAAAAATAAATACAGTTAAAAAAGTTTACATATTTTTATACGCCGCCTTTATAAATTCCAAGCATAACTTGAAATTTAGCTAAATTTATTTTTTGTTCATTTAAAGGTTGTAGTTATATTTTAAGCGTACGAAAAACGAAAAACTAGTTTTTTTTTTTATTATAAATTACCTTTTGACCTTTCGGAAAGACAATTTTTATGTATAATCAAAACTATGAAATTAAAAACAACTGTATATGAAAAAAATATATATGAATAATTAATATTAGGCATTATGTAATTATTTTTTAATATTGCTATAATAAGTGTAGTAGGTACTGATATGTATTTAAGAGCCTACCGTAGGAAAAAAAAACTGTATTTTATTATTATAACACCGGCTTCAGCTTACGAAAACGATCAAAAAATAAATGGAAAACCATAAATATTCTCGCTTTATTGAATTATCTGATGCTTTCGAAAATTATATCGATTAAGAATATTAATAATAATATATTTATGTTTAACAGTGAGTATATGATATTGAGTTGTTATTATTGAAACGGCTTTTTTTTATTTCTTGACTTAAAATTATAATAACACGGGGTGACTAGAAATTATTTGAAAAAAAAATACTCGAGTTATGTGAGAAAGAAACGATAAACTCATATGAAATAATTGCAATTTATGTTTCCATTATAAAAATTATACAGAACATTTATTGCAATGGGTTCGATGTGACGATTCAGTGGTTACGTCACATAGTGAGTAGAGATAAATACGAGTCGAAAATTGCATCTATGAAGTGGAAACTTCAAGAGGGACGACATGAATCGAAACTCCGGGAAAAGCAGGATTCGTATGGCAGAAGAGAACATAAAAGGCCTGGGAGTTGGAAACTGGAAAAAAAAGGGCTGTTTAAGATACAAACAGGTGGCAAAATGTAGTAATGGAGGCAAAACTAATCAAACGAATCATGGATTTCATATTTTAAGTTGAATTATGTGATTTTTGTTGCTATGGAAATCATATTGTTAGTTTTTTTTAAATTTTATTTTGTAAGTTTTCAACTGACCACCAGCCCAGAAACATATTCGCGTTAATATAATAGCTTACTTCTGCACGTCAACTATGTAGGTATTTTAAAACCCGATTACTGTGCAATTATGAATGACATCGCCGACATTATTAGTGAGCGAGTTGAAAAACCAGTAAGGTAATCGATATTAAATTGTATAAAAGAAAAAACCCTATAATTCACTATAGGTAATTGTTTTTTTTGAACTCCGCATCTAGAGTGAATTAAACGGTGAAAACAATAAATGATTATAACGGGGGTTTTTTTTTAATTATTTTTTGTTATAATAATATTATAACAAAAATTATTCCAGAGCAACCGTTATGTGATAATATCGTCATTTCGAACAGAAACGACGGGTTTAAACCGGATAAATCAAAAGTCAAATTAGTTTTATCGCTACTAAAACCTAGTGGAAATTTCTGGTCATTTCGATGGTATTCTACCCTTGTACAGCTATAATATCTCAAAACATATTTCTGAGACGAGTGCACAAAAAATGTCTACGTTTATTTTGAATTTTTTGATTTTTTTTTTTTGGAAATCCGGCTCGGGATAGTTTGATCTTATGAAAATATCTATACAAGTATTATAGTGTACACAGTTATGCACGCTACATTTCCGTTAATTTCGAGTGTTTTAAATTCCGTGTGTAGCGAAGGAGCTGCAATAACATTCTGGCACATTTCTATAATAAAATGTATTTTTTCTCAGAAATCGTTTATTTGGCCAGTAAAAATACTCTGAATTTTTCACGCAGTACCTATTGAAACAATGCTGCATTATTTCTGACTTGCGCTATTTCACTCGAAATATTTTACGATTTTCTCATCAGTTTTTTGAAAAAAAAAAATGTAAATAAAAACCGAACAAATAAAAAGATAATACGCTATTTGTATTTTTACATAGAAATTATAACTTTATCGCTTGTCGAGTTTTTCCGAAAGCCGTTTAGTAATAATCACAACGATCTATCGATTATCATTTATCATTGGTTTCAGTATGTGAACTAAATGATTACCTATACTCTGCATTTTATCTGAAATACCTTCCGGACTCCCTGATTACAATAGTAGCCTTCGAAGAAGGTTCTATTTTATATTGTTTTTGTTTTTTTTTTTAATAACATTCACAGCAGGAAAAGTATTTTTTTTTCTAATTATTTTTCCGTTCGGTTGTCGGAGATTATAATAATATGGAAGAAAATACGCGACAAAGGCGGAAGCGGAGGCGACGGCCGTGACAGACGTAGGTAGGTAGATACGTATACTGCATATTAGCTAGGGGTCGTTGGACTTTTGCGCGAGTCTGATTGTAAATTTCCGGTCTCAGAGACGAGGGGGTTTGGTTCAGGGTTCGGGTATAACATCGTGGACGTACATATATATAAATATATAGCTGCATATATACGTAGAGTACGTGTGCGGAATCACGAAAATCGCGTATTTGTCCCAGCGTGCGACAGTCCACGGACAGACCCGTTGTTTACAGCATCAATTATAAATTACTGGACCGAAACAAATGCGACCTGACAATTCGTTTAAACTGCATAGCAGTACTACACACACACACACACACACACACACACACACACACACACACACAAACACACACTCGCACATTCGCGCACACAGACACACGCGGCTATCGCGTATACCTACCTCTCCGTCGTAGTTCGGCCGGGCGGTAATTTTTGTATTCAAATTTGTTTGGGCTGGCGAGCACGCGAGAGAAAAAATAAATACATTCCTCGTTCAGAATCTGAAAAAAAAAAAATTAAATTAAAATACGAAATTCTGTTAAACAATAAAAAGTCTCGCACCCCGAACAAAAACGCTCTCTCGTATACCAGGGGGGTTTCGGATTAATCCGAAACCCGTATCGGAATATATATTACAGCGTCGGAATAAAAAAAAAAAAATATATATTAAATTTATTCCGCAGCACGGACAAAATGGACGTGAAATAATAATTATTATAATGCCCACCGTCATGACAATTGCCATGGCCGTCGTCCGCATATTATAATGTAGACAATAAATAAAAAAAATTCGTTTTTGAAAAACGAAACTGGTGGATCGCGGACAATACGATAGCATTGTAACGTTCGAACAGGGGCGCGGGCAATTAACGTGCGCGCAAAAACGTATAAAAAAAATGATTATGATTGTCGTTATAGGGGGGAGATTTCTGTTTTGTTTTCGCGGACGATTTTACAGAAATTTTTAGTGATTTTTTTTTTTCATTTTAAACGATTTTTTCTTGTTCCGATTTACAAGTGTAGTATTTTTTCTGAAACTAAGTCCGACTGGGGAGGTACTTCAATGGGGTGATTTGTTTGATTTTCCCGGGAGTTTTTCCGATAAATTTGAAAACCCCGGGAAAAATCTTAGAAAAATAAAGACAAATATTGAAGAAAATGTTTTATACATATTATATAATAAAATAATAAAGTGCAAACAAAATTACCAATACGGTTAATGCTCGTAAATAAACACATATATAAAAATGAAATAAATGAATGCATGCGTCGCCTGGAGCCTGTTACTCAATTATTTTACTATTACACGGCGTACATAATATTGTTGAATAAATTACACTATCAACCGAACTTCGCTCGAGAGGAGCTAATTTGATTTTGATAAAAAAAAAAAAAAAATAAATAAATGAAATGGTTAATCGGTGCGATGCACAGATGTGCATAAATATATACAGATATACATAAAATGTCCTCTCTACCACGCTTTTCCAACTTCTCATTTATTATTACAGTGTCTGCACCAGTTCCCATTATATTAGGACAGCTTTTTCTATTTTCACCGTCGACTCCTACTGTCCCGCGAATACGTACTTATCGTATAATAGTCAAATAAGCGTTGAATTTTGCTACGCGCGTAATAAACCCGTTTAAAAATATAAAATATTCTATTTCTGTAACTATATACAGTGAAAACTCTAAATACCGGACACTCTAGATCACTGTATTTTTTTCCGCCATTCAAAGGTGTCCACTATTTAGAGAGAGAATTTGTATTTTTGTTAAATTAATTAACTGAATACATTGTATTTTATTATTATTATTTTTTTTTTATACTAATTAAATGCCTCTTGAAGTTACAAAATTTTATCGGTGCGATAGTATGCCAACGACTGGACGGATAATATAGGATACACGTCATGTATAATAATGCACATACAATATGCATAGTAATAAAGGACAACTTAACAGTGTAGACTTTTATTTAGACAGTCTACAATTATTATTAATTTACGATAAAAAAAAAAAATAAATGATCAATATCAAATGTTAAGAAGTGTCCGTTATTCAGAGTGTTCTGTATTTAGAGGTTTTCCTTTATAAAGATAATGGAAACGTCCCCGTTCCCGAAAGAACGTTCACTATTTGGAGGTATCCGCTATTTAGAGGTGCAGTCTGTGAGGGGAGTATTATTTCGCTGTATTACGCACTCGAGTTTTGATGTCGTCGACCTTCGATTTATTGTTATTGTTATTTATTTTATTATCATTATTATTTTTTTTTTTTATCATTTTAAACGGTTTTACAATATATTACGAGTATAATGTTATAGTTTTCCAAACTTTCCGCCCGTACGTACATATAATAACAATAATTATTATTATACGTATTATACATCACCATATATATTATTTGACAATGTTATTTTTCCGACGATAACTCGCGAAATTACAGTATTTCGCGTGTATATACTTGTATATGTACCGAAACGTCGGCGTCACACTCGGCTAGACAATATTGGCGCCTGGGGAGTTTCCGTTTGGAGCGTTCGGTTGATGAACAAAAAAAAAAAACCAAATAAATAATAGCAATAATAATACACTCGTATTACTCGTATTATATACGGTATTTCCGAATTATCGCGGACGTCCGGACGCGTTGTTTTTTTTTTCTTTCCGATTTTTTGATTTCGTCAGACTTTAATATCATATCGACTATATCGACGATCGTACGCGTTTTCCACATAGTGTACAATACGAAATAAAGGTCCCATTGTACCGCGCGGTATTCTTTCTCTTCTTCACACACGCCGAGTATATTTTTTCACTGTCCTATTCCGTCACTCCCGCACTGGCCACCCGTCCCGCGTATCGTATCCTCTCCTTTTTCTCTCCCCCGTCCGCAGCTCTTTTTTTCCCTCTCTTGCTCTCCTCCGCCTCCGTGGACTCGGCCCGCGACGCGCCTGCAGATAAAGGGGGCGGATGATAATTTTCAATCCATGGCTGCATTAAATTGTCCTCTTGGCTGGATACGGTCTATATTTATATATATATATATATATTTGGCGTGAGGGGAGGATATAATATAATATATATATATATATATGTGTGTGTGTATGTATAGGAGAGGGGCATAATGGGTAGAGCAAGTGTTATATTGTCGGACGGCTATCTGCAGCTGACACACAACCCGCCGCCGCGACCGTCCCGCGCTTCGCCCGTTCCCTCGCCGTCGCCCACTCTTTTTTTCCACTACTCTCCCCCCCATCCACCCACGCCAACCGTTTCCGAGTCGTCGGCATGACCGTCGCGGGATGCGCGGGGCGGGTAACGGTTGTCGCGACGCTGAAAAGTCGTAAATTTAAAGGATCCCCGGCACGACAATTGGTTCGCGGATCGTTATTACCGCTGCGGCCCGAGCCGGAGGTTTTTTTTCTTACAACCAATCTTATACTTATATATATATATATATATATATATACTTGTATATTATTATGATACAAAGTTACACTTATCATACTTTGTGGCTTTTGCGGGGCCTTTTTCGTTTTTTTTTTCTCTTTCTTAAATATTTAAACACACGTTCGCACGTAACGACTACCGCGGCGGCGTCGGCAGCGTCGAGACGCTTACCGCTTTATTTTCGCTTTTCCGCATACGCGTATACATATTATAATAAAATTTATTGTGTAAGGGTTGTACAAAAGATTTTTCGCTTCCTCCGACCGCCCTCCGTCCTCGTCCGGTTTTCAACCTTGCCAAAAAGATTTACACGGAGTCCTGTTCTTTGAAAATAAATAATAATAATAATAACAGAAAAACGAGAGGGAAAAACCTAAAGACACATTACCGTTCGACTTATATCATATTTTGTATAATACGGTGGTTAAGATTGAATTAAACCGACGCTGTATTTTCGGTATTACTTTTTTTTTTTTTACTTAAACACAGTTAGCAAATTAAATATCGGTTATAGCCGTCGTACGCACGTTAAACATATTATATTTTATTATGAAGAAATAATTGAAATATTTTAATCATTATATTTGATTTTTTTGACGACGTACCAATATTACATAATATAGTAAACTATAATACAATATTTCGTTAATTAATTTCTTTAATTATGCGAATTTTGAAATTCCATATTGACTGGTTTACGTAACAAGAATAAATAGGACGTGGGTGCAGCCACTGATGAAGGTGGATGTTGAGAAGGTATGATAGAGACGGGAAGTTAATGTGTATCCGCCATTGACAATAATCCATTTCTAACGAAAAAACGATTCTGAGTGGAGTTTAGTAGATAGTATTGCTTTGTCAACAATGCATATATAAAATAACAAAAACATATTATGGTAAAATAATTACAACCACATGCGTTTCCATGAAAACAATAATTTTATAAAAAAGATTATAAAAATATAAAAACTTAATGATAACAAAAAACATATAAAAACGGTTGCCAATGACAACCTTATTTTCAATCTTTCAATCTTTTTTAACTTAAATAATCAGGTGTTCCGCAATATCTCGATACCTCATATCTATGAATTTCAAAAAATAACTGGTTTAATGTTCTACTGAGAACATTTCCTTTCAGAAAAGGTGCTGTACTTGATAATCAGAGTTAGCTTTCTGGTAAAAAAAGTATTCACATAAAAAAAAAAAGGTAAGACCAATACATTCTTCGCTAAACTTGGAATCTAAAAATCTAATTTCTAAAATGTCTATAGTCTTCTATCGATAACAATAAATTATCCGCGGTTTTTTAATGCTATCGTACAGTGTACACGATTTTGTTCATTCTCGTCGTGTTATCACTAGGCTAGATATCTATATGCTTTAGCATGTTTTTGTTTGTTTGTCAGCAATGTATAGCTGCTTAATACCGAAATGTATTTAATTTCACCCGACGGCTGTATACACAATATTTTATTTTCCATATTTTAAGGATTTCAAGACATTTCTGTCATTAATATTATTTTCATTTTTATTTTTTAGATACTACCAGCATACTTGTAATATACACTTTTAAAGATTTTATGAGCATATAAATATCCGTTCTAGTAATTTTAGTCCAATTTTAATCCACTTATTTAGATTTATACAATTATTTTTCTTTTTGAAATAATGTTATTATTTCTAACCAACCTCTCACCCCCTTCCCATTCCTTCAATAAATATATTTCCATGTTCATTTATCTACAAAAAATAAATAAAACATACTTGGAACAATAAAACATATATGGAACTTTAAATACCGTCTTAGGATTTCTATTCATTAAAGAATATTATAATGTCTTATCGAGTGATTTGTATTTTTTAAATACAATACAATTGTCATAAATAAATTATTTTTTATATGCTTCCCGTGTGTGCGATCGTCGGCAAAATAAGACCGCGAACTTGCTCGAGGGCATTATGAAAAGAAAAAAAAATCATAATCTCGGAGGGATTGAAACGCATGAACTCGGAAGTTCCCTATATCTATAAAATATGAATACAGAATACGGGCACGTGACCGAGTTACGTGACGAAGTCATAAGAGGAAGTCATTTTGATTCCACGTGCAGACAGTGCACAATAATATATACATAATACAGTGTTTACTTTTTATAATGTCATTACTTATTGAAATGCGGAACGTCGTACGTTTAAAAATCACACACATCGGATCACCGCCGCCTCGAGTACTCGACATGATATTTCGAACCGAAATTATACGTAGACTGGATTTTCCCGAATAGAGTTCGAGTCGCGTTTCACCGATTTTTATGATATAAAACCCTAAATACACGCGGGTCCGTTTTGTATAATATGCAGCGGAATTCAAATTCGAATCAAATCCCGGCAAAGGTTATTATTCTTCTTGCGAATATCCCGGGCACTGCATCACAAAAAAATGCCAGTGCGAAAAATCTCTCGGTTGATTTATAGTCGTCTCAAACGGACGGAAAAACTTTGATGAGCGTTTTCTTTTCCGTTAAAACGTAATGTTTTTCGTCGTTTATTTTTTCGCGTTCGTTCTCCGATGCTCGGTTCTCGATTCGTTGCACATTGGTCCATTTTCCCCGTATTACTCACCGCGCTAGATCGTTTCCTTTTAGAAGCTTAATGGTCTTTTAAAATGACCCAGAAACGAGAATATAGAGTGCGGCGAGTTACGGTCCCATAAAAATTACATTAAGAAACGACGACAGTCGCTATTTGTCAGACGAACTCGCCGAAATCGAGGGCCGACGGGATTTGTGCGAAATTTGTAACGTCGTAATTTTTTTTTTTTTTTTTACTTTCACCCGCGTTATCATTATCGACACGTTATTATAAAACAACTTTTAGCGGAAACGCTTTAATACGTTTAGCGTATACTTTAAGTGTATACGGTGCAGTTTAAAATATATTTTTTTTTAAAACAGTTCACGACTGTAAAAAAACGACGGTTAACGTTTATACGCGAATACTTGGAACAAATTTTGTGTTACACAGTTTTAGAATTTTCGAAAACGTTTTAACGAAATAAACAAAATTTAAAATTTAAGACAATTATAATTACTTTTTCCCAGCCGTTGCTTCGCTATCGCATAGCTTTACACAGTTGTCATCCATGTAACAATACATTTCTGAAGATCTTAAGTTTTCATAATGTATCCAGTAAAGTTATTGCGATAATTGAAACTAACAATGTTAACCGGTGGACAATCTGATGAAACGGTATTATAATCGTGATAACACAATATCGGCCTAACCAAAATACCTGACCGGGCCTAACGCACCGTTTATTCGTAAACCGTTCCTAAACGTCCAATACGGTTTGAAACCGTTAAACTGCTTATAGTGTACAAATCTTTGAATACGTTTTAGTGATTTCAAAACAATTCTCGACTGTTTTATACACTATATGAGACCGTTTCGAGTTCCAAACGTCTAAACAGCAATTGCAATTTGATATTATGCTATTGTAGTGTAATACATTAAGTAAGACGAATTTTAAAAAATATATTTTAACGTTTAAATTATAACGTAAAACTTGTCTTTATTCGTTCCATCGTAAAAACGAAAACGCGAAAACCTCTCGAATAAACGCCACACATGTGATGGATTTATTAGTTTATTAGTTGTTTATAAGCTTGAAACTTTTATACCGTAACGGCGTTTTTAAACTTGTCGCGTGACAATAATAATGTTGTTTTATGTTTTGTGTTTTTTTTTTTTTTTACAAACCTGCCCGCTATAAAATAATTATTTATATATATATTTAAATACCTGAGCCGCAAAGGCCGAAAACGATACGGTGGACGGCGGAAAGTGGAGGGAGGTGGGAAGCGGAAATAAAACCGTCGTCGTCGTTATGATATACTGGCTACCGTAACGGGCGCCGGTTTCGACATTCGGACGGGATTACCGGCGGTACGTGCACACACGGCAATTTCGGTAAAATGACGGACCGGCCGCGGCGAATGATTAATACGTTTGTAAATCCCGACGCGAGATCGCGCGCCGCCATGTAATCCGTTTAAGCGCCGTCACTACACGCGAATTTAGCACGTGAAATATCGCGTGATTATCGTCCGCCGGACCCACGTGCGCCGATCACCGTCCTCCGATTAGACGGGTACGCGCGAGACGAGCTGGCGGGTGCGAATCGTGAAGCGGGCGACGCGGCGCGGCGCAGGTTTTCGTGATCTACCGATTTGAACTTCCTCGTCTTTGCTGGGCGAAATCGCTCTCCAAGAGTCTTGGCCGCCACCACCGCGATATCGCGCCACCCGTCTACGCCGCCCTGCATCTTTCCGGTTCTAAATGCCCGCAGCAGCCTCGTCAAGCCTTCCTCCACTCCGTCCAGTAATATTTTTCCGGGGTCTGCGTCGCGGCATTTTCCCGTTCCATGGCTGCCCTTACCGGTTCGATTTCATTTCGCCGCGTGATGTGTCCAAGCCAAGATACTATGATATCCTCTGGCTTTCGACGCAATTAGTAATCGTTCCCGTTTCCAACGTGTCCTGTAACACTCTGTTGCGCACCTTCTACGTCATAATGGTTCGAACGTACGGACGGAAATCGATAAGCGGTGTGCGGCTTATCGCTCCTGTACTTCACGAACAGTCCGCGATTGTAGAACGTGAACAAGACAATATTAAACCACTAAATAAGAGAACGAATCTTGTGCGTTTTATGCGAGAGCGTTGACCGCGCGCAAAAGTTGAAACTCAACGCGTTAAAATGTCGAAAAATGTGCGATAACCAGAGCGTTTGTCTTAATAATGGACGATTCTCTTTGGAGTACTGCGAGATTGTCAATTCGGGTTAGGTTGGCGAACGAAACCTGCAGGCGTACCGAGCCGTTTCCAGCACACCGAAGACTTCAATAAGCACGGCAATTACGCTCTACCGTATTCTTGTCGTTGTACCCATCAGTGCCAACGATACTAATGACGACCGGGTAACACGCAAAAACCATAATTACGCAGAATAAGTAAAACAATAACATAGTTTCGATTTTAGAGTAAAAGTACCTATTATAAAATGTATGGAGAACGATAATTCGGAGGGTACGTCATAGAGCTTTTGTGTTGTTCTAGATATACAGCTCAATATAAAAGACACGAAAACCTATTGTCCTTTTTTTTTTTTTTTTTAACATAATTCATTATTCAAAAAACATATTCTATGCCGTTCCCTCCGAAATATCGTTCTATATAAATTTCAAAATAGGTACTTTTACTCTAACATCAAAATCAAGCTAGTTTTAGTCACTCTGCGTAAGCATTGTTTTTGTATGTTACCCGGTAGTTGGACCGGCACAGTAGATGAGGGTATAACGTCCTCTCAATACCGTATGACTACAGCTACTTACAATATATTGATAACGAGAGTTGTTTGATTGCCCGTGTTTTTGTATCGAAACATAGAACTCGAGTTCTCGATTACCGTCGACTATTAATGACTATTGATTATTATTATCGACTAAACGAAATTATAGCGACTAAGTGATCGATTGTCGCGGAATCCCGAGACTAATCGGGACCGGGTATAGGTTATTATAATCGCGTAACAAAACGAATTAATACAACATTATTCCGTCTCCGACTTGAATTGATTCGAAACAACAGAATGAAAAAAAAATACATCAGCTAAAGTTTAATGATATTACTGTACCTACCGGCAGGTACGTGCAAAGGAATTTAATTGGGTTTACTGTAAAACAATTAACTTTAATTCCGCACGTTCGTTTGAATTTGAATATTGTTCCTTTATGCCTCGCGCAAAATTTTGTTACACATTGAAATGCCACAGATGTACGGTACCTGTGCCGCAATAGTAACAATAACGAATTAATATAGTTACATTTGCGAAATTAAGTCAATCGGTGTGTACCCGACGATAACCGCGACTAATCCGGGAATTCAAATTTCCGACCGATTGTACCGAACTTTGTAACTCGTTTCGAAGTATGATCGCCCGAATCATTTCTGTACACAATCGACTTTGAACAAAGTACAATACGTGTGTGACGTGAAAGGTGTTCCGCATACATTTCTAATAAAAGCTGAATCGTAAAGAAAAGAAAATATCAATTTCGGAAAAAAAAGGAGTGGGGTCATAAAACGAATTTGGAGCCCGGGTTCGGCCCGAGAGATCGGCCCGGGTTCTTTTCGGGTCGAGCTTTTCCGTCTTGACCGTGTAAAACGGTTTCGCGGCATTATATTCTGTATGGGTAAAACTATATTGCAACTCGGTTACAAACTATACGCGCGACTATGCGTGCACCGTTACAACGAAAAAAGTGACACGTAAACGAAATTGACAGCGTTTTCAAACCGACATATTGTATTATTACATTATATTATAATCGAATTTACGAGTTAAAAGATCGTAAATATTAATAAAAAAAAAAAAATGCGATACTTTTATATATAATAAATACTCGTGTATACGTATACCCACAATATTATATTATTATATAGAGTATTTCGTTGTATCACATTTTTTTTTTTTTTTTTTTACGCCGAGTTGAACTTTCTTTAACTAAATAATCCGATAATATCGTAAAACACCGAAGACGTAGACGTCACCTCCGTAAAGTTTCGTGGCCGCACGAATTTATTCAAACTGTAACTTTTCATAAGTCTGTCTTTTTCGGATTTAAAAGTATATTACTGCAGTTGACTTTTAAGTGCGCATAATGTCTGCGATGCCTCGTCGACAACAATGACACGGCACATACGGCGGTACAGCGGTGGGTTTTTCGACGCCAAACGCCGTACGCTTTCGTTATTTCGCATTCTGAGCAAAACGCGGTACAGACGTACTGGTTTTACAATGATGATTATTATTGCTAATGATTATTATTAACGTTTGAAAATCAAACGGGAAGTTTATTATTAGTTGTAATTAGCGGATGATGAGGTTTTTCGTAGTATTTTTTTTTCAACATAAGAATTTAAGTATCAAATTTTAACGAAAATCGTAATCATTCCGGCCTTTTAAAACATATATAATCGAACTCCGCTCAGAATCAATTTTCGTTGGCAACGGTTAATCTTCGCGCACACAATTACGTTGAATTCCCCTCTACATCCTATATCTTTCCAACTTCTCGCCTGCAACGGTGGGCCCAGCCCATCGTGCGAAGTATGTGTCCGCCTTTTCGCTTTTAATACGGGAATCGTCGATTTTCGACTTCAAATGACGTGAAAAGACGACACTTTTCTCGGACTCGTGCACGGGGCATAAATATCGGAAACACTCACGGCCGTTGATGTATGGCTAAAACGGATAAAAAAAAAAGCTGGCCATTAACTATACGCAGTTAGACAGTTTGTGAAATGAAAGTCGCAACGGTTTTTGTTTCCCTCCCTCCCCCCCCGCGGTTTTTCGTTTTCGAACGTCGCAGTGCCCGAACATTCGCGGTCGCGCGGCACGGTATCCGGTTTTAACCGCGATAATACCGACTGCGGGCGGACCGCGCGGCGCAGATGTTTTCGCAAATTGTCCGCGTTTAAAACAACGTCGTCGTCGCGCGGCCCGCGGTGGCGCTGCGCAGCGGGGAGTCTCTCGAGTGGTTTAACGCTCGCGCGGTTCGCGCGTATAAATAAGTGCCGGCGCATCAAAAGTTGAACGCGCAAACAAACTGATTAATGCGACGTCGTTAAGCGGGACCGCGGCGGCGGCGGGGCCCGGGGGATATATTCGACGGGAAAAATCCCGGGCCAACAGATGATTTATTCGGGCGGGCTGATGCGGGAGCGCGCGTGCGTGCTACGCGGTACGTATTATAATAATGCGTATACATATACGTACGTTTTTAGCCTGACGCCCGCCCCGAACGCTCCGAGTCGCCACCGCCGCAGCCGCCGCGGGTCTGACGACAAAGCCCTACATTAGCGGCGGGTGTTTAGCATTCGTCTCATTAGTGTCTCCCCCCCCGTCCCGGAGTACCCCTGCACTCGCCCCGCGGTCCCGTCTGCTCTTCCGCGCGTGAGGGCCGCGGGTACACAGTGCTTTCCGTGTCGAACCGCGGCGAGCGGCGGGCGGCGTTGTCGTTCCTGACCGCCTTAAACCCGGGCCCGGCAGTGTTTTGTAAATGATTGCCTACCGCGCCCTTTTCGCGGATAATCCGGCCATTTGTCCGCCGCCGGCCCTCTCCCGCGGCGCACATAACGTGCCCGCGTAATAATCCACCGAATCACTCGGCTCGCGAAAACCGCACCGCCGCCCGTCTTCGCGACCGGCGGCGCAGATAAAACGAGCGGAATAATAATAAAAAAAAATAGAGAAAAAAAAAAAGCGAAATTATCTAGGTCGATTTAACTCGATCTCCGCCGTCGTCGTTCGTGCCCCCGTCCCTGCGCACGGATCAAAAATAATAATAATAATAAATTACAAACGTCTGCGCACGTCGAGAGATTATACCGACCTTAGGGGGGGGGGTATTTCGTTTCGTTCGTAGCGTCGTTATTATTGTGCGGTTTATTTTTATTATTATTATTAATTTTTTTTCTTCAGGTCCTCTCGTTTCGTCAAACCAACGCGTTTTTTTCCGTCGCGTAATAAACCGGAACGAAAACCGCGACACGGTAATCCGAGGCGACGGCGAGAGATCAATTTTCCTAATGACAATCGCGAGTTCGTCTTGCCTTCCGAATTCTAGTGTACACTTATATAAGCGCGATGCGGCTCGGTACTCGAGATGGGGGGGTTCGATCCCCCTCCCTCCTTTGTCCGCGTTAAGCACGAAGAAGAATAAGAACACACAATCCGCAGTTCGTAAAATACTTGTACAAATAACAACCGTCGCGTATTCACACTGTTCCAACACCGCGCGATTATTACACGTATTCAGCAAAATATTTACCGTTTTCACCGGTCGACAGTTTTATTGGTTTAGCCCCCCCCCCGTCTCTCCCGTGGAAAAATACAGGACACGCCACTGTCTGCATGCGCATATTACCGTGACGCACACGTGTTATGAGTAACACTAATTTCCGACGTTTCGAACACTGTAATCAACGGATTTCATAATTCATAGTATTTGTACTAGTTGTAAGGCATTACTGATGAATAATCGTACGTATGTATCAACTAACATATTCGGTAATGTAGATACAACAATAGTTAACAAGACGTCACGACATCTGGCGATAATTTGTTTTTACATAACGGCTGAACAACGACTATCGAAAACGAAATAACGAATATGTCGCGTTAATCAAAATATTTTCAATCGATTGAACGTAAACCCATTTTTTTTTAAATCGCATTCAAGCTGTAACCCCTGTCCGTTCGAATTCGGGCATACGCAATAGCGAGGCCGTCAGAATAATTGTCTGCGTTCAACACTGGATTGATGGGCGATGGGACAGTATACACCGCGCATGGAAAATCGTTTAAGCCTGGCTTGTTATAAAACCGCCGCGCGCCACTGTGTACATATATATATATACAGACAGACAGAGAGAGAGAGAGAGAGAGAAAGAATTTACGATATTATACGTGCAGGCGATACTGTATTGTACAGAATCTCGTACAGTAATATACGAGAAAAGGAAACTGGATATCTTTGTTGCAGAAATAACGACTGCGTCCGCGAGACGCGAGGTCCGCGGCGAAAAACTTCAAACTATATATATATATATATATATATTATTGCATTAACGTCTAACGTTCTTAAACAAACAAAAAAAAAAAAAAAACCCCGAAATAATAACCGAAACTTTCGCGCGCGTAGATAAACACGGGCGCGGGCGTGATGTTTTTGTCTGCGGCGGCGGCACAAAGTTTTCTACTCGAAATTACAGGGCCGGTGCTATAACGAGGAGGCTCTTAACGAAACAGGAGTCGCTTAGCGGGGTTATTGCGGACGCACTGTTTATTTTTCATCAAAACTTTACAGCCGCCGGTACACATTACGTATATCTCCGGCGTGCGACGGTGACGACGGCGACCTGGCCGTGTCCGGTATTCATTTCAGAACTTCATAACCGGTAGGGGTGGGGGGTTGGAGAAGAGGTGTCAAGAGGTCATGGCAAAGGTGGCCGAACGACCGATCGCGATCGATTCACGTATCGATCTCCATGTTGTTGGAATTTTATTTGATGTAATTAACGATTCGACGGCTAGTTTATCCCAGCAAATGTATTCACATTAATATTACATTAACCTTAATAATAGTGTGACGATAAACGTTATTTAACTGTACATTTTAGTTTTATTATTTTGTACGTGTATGTTTATCATAAATAATTGTTAGGTAATTAATAATTGTACATTTTTGTTAGCAAGTCGGTCCTGAAAAAAAATAAAATACATTATAATAGTAGATCTCCGCCATAAAAGTTCAGCCACCCCTGAGTTATGCCAAAAGCGTATCCAGGAATTTTTATACCCGGGGAAAACATTAGGAAACTACGCTATATGAGGGCTATTTTTTTTATTTTTTAACCCGTTAAAGTACGGTTTTTGAAAAACGCAATTTTTTTTAATTTTTTTCTGTCGTCAACAAATGGACTCATAATCGGCCCGTAACTCGTTTCACGTATCGTCGCACACAGTTTACGTAGTATAATTTCGTACATTTTTTTTTTTTATGTTGGAGGATGCGTTTTTCTGTCACTCCCCTGAAATAAGCCTACTGGTCGGAGCCCGCTCCCCGTAAATGTAATAATACCGGTACCGACGACTGCGTCACAGTGGCGTGACTATGTAGCAGTTATTACTGTATCGACGCGCTGTGTATTGCGTACGAAAACTGCGGGTGGGGGGGATGGAAACGATAAAACAGAGGGGAGGGAAAAAAGAGAAACGCGGCCGGCGCGCCAACCAGAGAGTAATCCGATTTTGACGGGCGGAAAGCGCACGAGGCGTTGCGCGTGACGTGCTCGACTCGGCCGGAGTTATCACGTTTCGGATGCGCCGCGGATGTGCGAGGGGTGGGGGAAAAAAGTAGGAGAAAAAAAAATTGATCGGCCGCCGCCGGGACGGAGCGCGTGTGTATACGACCGGAAATACCTCACGTCGTACGGCGGTATTTCTCGATCCGGCGTTGTGAATAAAAAAAAAAGTTTCGCAGCGTAATATTATTGTACAAGAGTGGCGCGACTGCGTACGTCGCGGATACGGTTCGGTCTACTCGTTCGTGCGGTCAAATCTATTTTATCATTATTTTTTTTTTTCCTATACGTTTTTTCAACACGAAAATAACAACAATACGTGCGACCGAAACGCAATCGCGACGCGCGAGAATACTACGAGAATTCGACCGTCGCTTATCCGCGTTACTCAATGCGTCGCGACACGACGTCTTTCTATATTTCTTTCGTCTCGCGAATACCGGCGAGACGTTCTCAGAGGTGGTTTTTAAGCGGATTCGATTTCCGATCCTCCGACCCGACCGCCAACTGTCCCCCACCCTCCCCCAGTGATGGTTTAGCTTCGTTTCGACGTTGTTGTTATCACCGATACCGGGCGATTTCTTTTTCATCGTTTAACGCCCTGTATTATCACGCGAAAGTATCGACTATTTTTGACGTTTTTTTTTTCTCATGAAAACTCAAGATAACACAATAAGCAGCTCTGCGCAATGTCACGTTACTATTTATTGTTATTACTTTTTTTTTTCGTTTCGCCCTTATTTTCGGAATTGGAACTATAAACCAGTTAACGATTTTCCGGCAAAACGGCAACCGTTTTGAATTGAAAACGCCTTAAATAGACGAAGTATTAGTAAACAAATTTCCGGCGTTGAAAATTTTATGTTTCCATCAATCCGTTGGTGAGATATTCCCTTTTTTAGTTTTGATCGGCGGCGCGTTATTAACATCATTCGAACGATGTTCCGCTACTGTCCCCCGACCAACACTTAAAAGACGGAATAACTCGTCAGTGGACTGATGAAGATCAAAAATGTCAACACCAAAATTGATTTTAACTTAAAACGTTTTCAACATAGAGGTCTAACTGTAATGATTGGGAAAACAAAAATCGGAAATCGTATTCACTTAAAAATCATCATAGGGAAGAGATGCCGGTTCGGGGTGGATCGCCGTGTATGTATTAATTTTTCTATTTTCGTGTTAATAATGTGTGTGTGAGAGAGAGAGAGAAAATATTTTGTCGTAGATCGGCGAACCGGGACGTAAACGAGGGTAAATAGTGGCGTTCGAATGGGTCATATATATTTATATATATAATATAGTTTTCCATTAACAGAGTTAGACGGGGTTAGCATTTTAAGGCCGGCACGGTGGCTTTTCGATATTATTTTTCTGTCGGAAATAAAATCGTCTCGGGTCGCTTTTATATTATATAAACCTTCGCCGCACGTGTTTGTTTTGACAAATGTATTTGCTCGCGCCGAAATAACGTACCTTTTTTCTCCCAACATGACTCCGAAATACAACACTTGTCGATAAAACACATAACATTGCGCGCCGTGTCCTCCACGTCGGAACGACTCCCCTATATCCCCGACGGCGCGCCGGAGTACGTCCGGCTTTTTTGCTGTGTTTTTTTTTTTCTTTTTCTTTCTTCCCGCGCCTTGTCAAACACAGTTCGAGTGCTCGCATCACGTTATAGTTTCCGACCGACGGAACACGCATTTCGTACGGTGCCGGGGGATTCCGGCCGGGCTCACTGAAGAAATCCGAAAAAATTAGACCTGTTTACACGATCCCGCTCGTCAAAAACGTAAACACGACGTTCGCGTGCCATCCGTTTTTATCGTCATTTACAATTAGTAATATTCCTTTTCCCCGGGTTAAAGTAAAACAATATTTTATCATGTTATTTGCAACACTCGTATCTAAATCCAACACGGAATACACAAATGCAAACGTCTCCGTGGTACAAACGGTTCACGGATACTGGAGAAAACAGCTGCAGTTTATCAGCGCCTTGGCGAGCGGTCTCGGCTAGGAAACTGTGCTTCAACACCGTGGGCCGTTTTGTTTTCGTTTCGTTCCCGCAAACGACTCGTCGTAATCCGTTCGTACCTGTAATTTTCGGCCTAGTCGGCGAACGGTCGTTTTTTGGATGTGACTCATTGTTTTTCACAACGAACGGGAGAAACCGACGATTTCTAATGGTTTCTGGGTCGCCCCGACACGAATGGGAGCAATACGACACTCTGCTCAGAATAGTTTTTCGACATTAACGGTTTATCATCGCGTACATGTATACACTGAATTACCATACAATATACACAATCCCTTGAAACTTTATTCCTTCTTAAACGACGCACAACCTTTGGCAGTATCAGCTTTTTTCTTTAAAATGTTCAACGTACACGATATATTACATAATATTAAACATCATTGTGGGTGCACAATTTTGTAAATCTTTTTGCAGGAGTTTACTGAAAAACACACGAACAACGCTTTTTCCTTTACGTATGAAAATGGCTGATCAATAATTTGCTGTCATGCTCAAACGAATGGCGTGAAATCGGTTTGCCGGACGCAAATTGAACCTTTGTCTATCGGACAATCGTACGTACGCTGTGGCGTCCTCTTAAGGACGACATCGTACTGACGGTTTTCGGAGATAAAATAAAAAGGTCTGCGCGGACGACACTCGCATGGTTTCGGTCTTCGCGTGAAAGTGCGTATAGTACACAGTGTTAGTCCTCGGAACGCGGCGCCCACGAAACCGCAGAACACTCCGCGGCCAACAGGTTATTGTTGTCGGCTGCGGCCGTAATAGCGCGGTCCGGGAAATGATCCGCGGCACTTGCGCGCGTTACGCGCGTAGCCGTTTTTCCGGGGAAATCCGCGAACCGCTCGCCCTGCACTCCGTCGCCGATACGTTATAACCGCGCGCGCTTATCGCGGTCACATACTCGACTACACACGGCTACGGCGGAGTTTGACCCCAACCGTGCGCGCGGTAATCTGACCGTTACGGCCCCTTTGATACGATACCGGTACGCGCGGTTACGGGCTCGCGCCCGCGTCCCCCTTTGTCCGCGGCGGCGACCCGATCGTTATAAAAATAAACGCGCGCGCTCGCCCGCTCGTAAACTGCAGAATGACAACAGTAATATATTATACGGGATGTCCCGCGGAGATCCGACGATTTTCGCATCGTCCCGTACGATATTTTCCAGGGTTTTTCGTTCTCGTAACGAGTACTGTCACGACATTGGTTCTCGGCTATAAAACAGGACGATTATAGGAATCGCCCTGTCCTATGGTTTTTATAGATTAAATGTTTCGACTAAAAGTACAAAATTCCATTTGTTTAACCGGCGTGTGTGTGTGTGTGCGCGCGTGTTGGAACGAAATCTCACCGTTACAAATATTTACAATCGTCTAAAAAATTTTCGAGATTTACAAAAATCATTTTTCATCGACAAATCGGTAAATTTATCGATATTGTTTTAGTATATTTTATAGCGGCAATGAAAATAATTTAAATTCGGAAATTAACGACTATCGTCATTACAGTAAACGTTATAGTAATGTCGACGTCGTGTTTCAAAATAAATTTATAAATGTAATAAAATGCTTTTGTTTCTTTTCATATTCAGTTAAAAAAATTAAATAAAAAATAAAAAATAAAAAAAATATTAAACAATCAAACAAAGATTACTGCGTTAGTCAGATCTCCGTGGGTCACCCTATATATATTGCTACGAAAGTCGTTGAAACACGATTTATTGTTTTCAACCTTGTTTCCGGCGTCAAGTTCGGGCACTCGCCCCACTAACACTTCCCGAAATTAGAATTTCCACCCGAAACCCTAGAATAAATTATCGTATAATATTATTGTGACTCTTGCGACGGGCTTTAATTATACGACATTAAAATATAATAATAATGCCTTCATTAAATAGGCCTTTGCGTGTTTTCTACAATGTCCTACAGTACGTGTATTTTATAATCTATTTTCTTTTTGTCCATGATAATTAACGACGTTCGGTCGTCTGAGTAATTTGTCAGACAAATCGACGCCGAGAAAAAAAAAATTGTTAGGAAAGCCCCATACTATACGACGAGGGCAGTGCAAAGTTCCCGGATTTTCTAATGCATTTCAAACAATAACTATAATTCCGTAAAAAATTTTTGATAGAATCCGGCGCCGTGTTCATACGGGAAAACCTAATAATTAAATTAAATGTTTCGTTGTTTTTGAATGGTCGACCGGACGTTTTTAAAACTCTTAAAAATTTATATTTATTTGATATGGGAATTTACAATCAAATCAACAACCCTAATACCGTGTAGTACAAGCGTCTAATCTACGGACGGACGGACACGGCGGGAATATTGAGTGGTGTTCAAGAATTACGATTAGAAATCCAAAACGGAACCCCGACGGTATAATATTATTTTCGGCAATACGGGGGAAAAGAATCCTCAGATTAAATCCCGACGAGAAAAAAAAAAAGGACGTGAAAATCAATTTCGACGTAGTTTACAACGATGCCAGTATTTTGTAAACCGGTAGTTATATGATCGTAAATTATTCGTTAGTCTTTTATTCCTCGTCGCCGAGAATTTAATCGTCCCGCTGAAATTGTAAACATATTATAAGCGAACTGTTGTCTTGGTAAAATTGTGAAAAACTTCGGGTGCACAGTATTTGAAACGGTTAATTTGCTATTTTGTGACATTCGATTTACATTATATTATTCGTTTTACGACGCGTACCGCATTTAAAATATAATGTGCACAGACGAGTGAACATCCGACTAGAATTCACAAACGCGTTTAAATTGATATTATATTGCGAGCGGAAATTGTACTGTGCGGCTATATGATATTAAAAATCGATCGTAAAAAAACCGATGCCTGCTGGAAAAATAACAATCGAATAATATTGAAAAAACGATAGCCATCAAAGATCGAACCTATTCTAATAGTACAGCCACTCAAGCCGTTCCGGTTGACGATTCGGCTGTTGATTATTAACAGAGACGTATATATAGGATCCGGACGATAAGGGGTCTTAACGACTACGAAGATCCGTTTCGCCCATTAGAGGTATTCGAGTCGTTTTGAAATTGAGCTGGCAAGCGATTTTCAAAAATTATTATTTTATTAATAATTCAATGCAGTTTTTCTCTGATTGTCGGTCTGCACTATGAGTTTTAAACAACCACGAGAGGACGAAACAAAATTTGTATTATTATACTAATATGCCCGTCATCGTTAAACTGGTATTTACCAGTAAATATACCTATTTATCTCACACGTTATCACTTTGATTTCGATCTATTGGTAGCCGTTCTCACAGATCTAGATTATCCGCGAGAATTCAGTCGACGGAAGAACCAATTGACTCACGGAGATCTAGATAACCGCGGAGATCTGAATGACCAAATATCTGGGTAACACGACACCCGTACAATACGCCGTCAGTTATTCGACAACAAATTTTACATACGTGTATAAAAACATAAGAGGATATAAGGTGGAGGGGTCCGAAACCCTCAATAAAATATGTGGGTTGTTTAAAATAATAATAAGCCGGTTTTATAATATATACGAGGATTATTCCACCCGGAAAATTATCGAATCTCTGCGTTTAAAATAATAATCATTATCGAAAACACACTTCCACTGTACAATAATTCGTTAACGGATCAATCGGATCGATTGCGTCAAACAGTACATATAGGTCCTATACGAAACGACAAAATAAATTGTGTTATAAATAAAAACGAAAAAAAAAAAAAAAAAAAAAACATTAAACGTCCTCATTAATTCGATCGCCAAAGCTGCAGTCACCGGAGTCTGTCACGGAGGACCAATCGTAAAAATAGATCATATTATTATATTATTATGTCGAAAAACACGGAACGAATATAAAAGTAAAAGAGAGTTGTAAAATGTTTATAGTGTTACTGAAGCTTATATAGGTACCTGCCCTTTTTTTTTATTTTTCGTCACTCGAGCGTCGTCATCATAGCCGATAAAATGGCAATAAATAAAAACCCGTATAAATATAAAGCGTATTGTCTCCACGGTGATAAAATCCGAAGAAATCAATTTTAAAGTAAGCTTTTTGTTCTGCGATTTCGATAGTTATGAAAAAAAAAAAACACGCAATAAACAAACGGTGTCGACAAGAAGAAAATTCCGTTGAATAAATGGTGGAGTGACTGTTTTTTTATCGTAATTATCGGAGTAAAAACAACCGTAGGGACCTGAAATTTTCAAAGAGTACTCATATTGACCGTTTCTCAATGAAGTAACATTTCCAAAACATTCCAGCTATTGTTGAGCTATTTGTACGCATATTATTTAAAATATCACGAGTAATCAAACGGCGATTTTATTTCAAATAGAAAGGGTTCGAACCTCCAAACTTCCGTTCTACCTGAGCGTGTCATTAGTTTTAGGTAAGTACGTAACATTGAGCGTCGTCCATAACTGCAAACTTCTGTCTATAATTGCTCAATTTGATGACACTTCAAAATTCGGCGGTCGCACAAACGATAACGCATATCTAAAATCGGATGGGAGATGGTAAACTCCTACAAAATTAGGTAACCTCTTACATTGACATAGTATTAACTCTTACACTAGGTAGTTGTAAAATTGTAAAAACTAAAATAAGTTATTTCAAAATAAATAAAAATAAGTCATAAATCACAAAAGTCAAAAAATATTATAATATAATTTTTTTTTTGCGTAATGAATTTATATTATTAACTATAGATACCAAAAAACACGTGCACAAAACGAGAGAACAAACAATACTATTGGAAAATATACAGTTATTCAATTATTTTGCTCTGCGATTAGTGGTATTGATACTATAAGCCTTTTATCTCTGAGTAGCGAAAAAAAGAGGACGAGATTGTTTTAGTTCCAATTAATGGAAATAACGTAGGCGTTATCGTAATGTTCGAGAATTTCCAATACGATTTTGTTTTACATTTTATATTAAATGTGTAAGTCTCTACGAATATTTATTCAAAGTGCAAAAATAAAATGTCTCTTATCATTTTTCTCTTAGAGAACTATTTCTGGTAAAAAAAGTTTATTAAAAATAATAAATCGTAAAATCGTACGTTTTTTCTCACTTAAGTGCAATTATCTCTAATAAAAATCATTGTAAAACCAATACATATTCCTCGCTGCACTCAGAATCTAAAATTTAAAAAAATCTGTGTTGGAGATTACACCATCTATTTTTGGCAAGTAAAAAGGGAATATGTGGGAGTTTACACCATGTTTTAAATACAGGTAAAAAGGTCATTTTTATAGGAGTTTACATGTAGCCAATCAGATTATCGTTTAGACTTACGCTCCAGTTAATCAAAATCGCAAATTCATAAAAATGAAACTTTCGGTTTTACAATATGTTTTCGAATTATTGTCATAATAAAATAACGACCGTTACCACTCCGAACATTTTTTGAATGAAACGTTGAACTTGAACTTGTTTTTATATTGAAATTTACCCAGATCGATTTACTTCGTCATTTATAAGCATCAATGTTTCAAATGATATAAATAATTATAATAATAATATCTGGAAGTATTGAAGCATTACGTAACATTATATAATATACCGTGTCAATAACCAACATCGGTAACGAACGAGTGACGGGTTAACGATAGACGAGACGTTCGTGGTATTAAACGATGTAAAACGTGTGGCATAAGAAAGACGTAATTCGCACGATGGGTGGGCCACTGCCGTAGACGAGATGTCGAGAAGGTAGGACATGGAGGGGAATATTCAATTTATATCCGTACCCTCTACAGTATGCTAATGCTAACGGAAAACGTATAGGAACGTAAACTTTCCCTTTTTTCCCCCCCGATTATTATGAAAAGCGCTCGGAAAAATCACGAAAAAAACCTGGTTAAAGTACCGCCCAGATGAAATGGATCCTCCGTTGAAAATGTATGCCGTACGCTTGAAAACCGGAGCGAGATTCCTGCTGGTGAAAAAGTCGCGCCCAGACGCGCACAAACCAAACGCCGTCGTGTAAAACCGATACGCTCCGGATCTGACGAAAACAACGGTATTTTCCCAAAAGCCGCGGGCAACGCGGTTATTCGACGGGAAACGGTTGGAAACGGCGGGTTCGCAAGTGTCCCTTTCAACGCCGTCGGGGCCCCAGAAAATAAAGGGGGGCCAGACGTCTTTCCGGAGCGACGGCGTACGCAGATAGGCCGCGGCGGGCGAGCGCGACATAATACACCTGTAATTAGCGGTTTTTACCGCCGTCGCGGTCGCGGCCGGTCACCGCGGTGGGCGCCGAACACCGGGCGATTAATATTATAACATTGCTCCGTGCGATAACGTGACGGCGGTACACGATAATACGATACATTATTATCGTAAACATCGTTCCCCTCGGTCGGCGGGCACCCTGGCCCGTACACACGGGAAATAACTGCGGCGGCGGCGGCGGCGGCGACGATAATTACGATCGCGAATATTCCGTTACACGCGCGACGCCGCCGTTTCGTCGGCAAACTCGCACGGTGCATAACATTACCGTAATGGGAATTATGATAACGCGAGGCGAACGAAATACGTCCCCGGTGCGCGTGTATCCGTATAATAACAATAACACGGCGGTCGATTTGGACGGGGGTAATCGATAGTCAACGGGCCGGAAACCGGAAGAACACTATCGGCGCCCGGTCGTTAACAATCTCAACGGACAGCGTGCCGTTGCGTTTCGGTCGGTTTCGCAATGTCACGGGCCCGCGACCAGACCGCTCAGACTAAAACTATTAGTGAGTGGGGGGGAGGGGCGGAGGTCCGATGTCTCCGCAATCCCATTTGCGCGACACTTATACGATACGTGACTTACGCGTCTCGTAACGTAAGCGTTTCAGTTTTTTTTCGTAAAAACGCACCATAGCTCGCTGGACTCGCCGGTTTTGTTCCGCATTTTAACTATGAAATTCGCGGTTTTTTTAATCGATACAATAAAATGTGGGTATTTTGCGGGTTACCAAAGACCCCCTCCCCCCCATATACCCCCTTAGTCGCACCAACGGGTTCTGTCGGAGTATACGTGGCACGCCGGGAACGACTACGGTCGTATCTTGGAAAAAACGTCGCCAGGCGGGGGAGATACAAATTTCGTTACAAGTACCATTCACACTCTCGAATTTGTTCCTCCGAAATAAAAACGCGTCGTTCTACTTTTGAGCAAATCGGGATCAAGCGCCACCCTCTCTGATATGGCCTCGTACAGGAAATATTTCGTTAAAGAGAACGTCCGATTATAGACATTTCGTTATAGCCTTATAGGTTTAAAGTATCGCGTTTATTTTTGGATACCGGAGCCAAGTTTACACGAGTGAAGTACCGGAAATTTTAAAATACTCTTGAACGTCACGCCCGCATTTATACAACATAAATTTATTGTCTCGGTCCGAATAACTGACACCAATACCGTGTTACTTAGAACGTAAACCGTGTTATTCAGGACAAAATTATCAGGTAAAATATTCAGGTTACGACACTGATTATATTCGTGGCCAAATTTAAATAGAAGAATATTCCCGAGGACTGTGCGTAGCTTGAAAATTGTCACACAAAAAAGCTACAGCTATTAAAAAACAAATTATGCGAGACGATTTTTTGGACAAAAACTACGTACAACCGCGCGCGAAACGTACAAGTATTTCTTTTTTGATTCCGAGGACCCAAGACCCTTAGATCCTTTCTCTGTAAATACGTCACTGACTATATAGTACTATCACTGTATACTGTATAATTTTTAATGGGTTTCCGTTTTATCCGGGAGCTATATTTTCCTCGCAAAATTCTATAACACCGTGTGAGTAGACCATTAGTGACTATCATTATTATTGCTCGTCAGACAAAGTGATTATGTGAATTGAACATTGTTCTCGTCGCCGCAGCTGATTCTTCTTCGCAAACAGTTGCGAGTAGTTTCGAGGAGAATTTACTGAAAATGGTTCCATTAGATTTTACTCACCCCCCTCCCCCACCCTATATATAATATTGTTGTGAGTACTTTGAATTAAACCATTTATCGAAATAAAGGAAATAATAATAATAATGATATAATAAAACGTACAGTTCTTATTGAATTAATATATTTTTATCGAGTTAGAATGAAAATTGTCTAATAGAAATATGAACGCAAGTACACATATAATATAGTTAAGCGACAAACGAAATCAGTTAATTCAAAAGTTTACGGATTTTCATAAAACCGATCGAAACGTATTTGTATTTAAGTATATACTATGTTATGAAGAATAACATAATAATAATACGATCGTACCGTTAATATATAACGTAAGTGCAATGTTGAAAAAACCATAACACGTTCGTACAAATAGAATAATAGATTTATTTTTCAGTTAGGGATTAGGATAAATAGGTGACTGCGAATAATACAGGGTATACCACGAAGATATTATAATATCTCCGAAAATAATATTATAATCAGATAATGTTTTTTTTATTTTATACCACTAATTGGGATAAAAACTACTATAATGCAATTCATTTTTTATATTTTGGTAAACAATTTAAACAAAATTACTTTTAATTTTGTTTTTTTTTTTTTTTGAAAAATTTGATGTATCGACTTTTTATTTTCATTAAATTCGTAATTTTTAAAATTTCAAAAAAAAAAGGTGTACATATTGTACAGTCAATTAATCGTAATAATAATTATCAATTTTAGAATTTTGGATGATTATAGGTACTTTTCTCTGAACTTTGAATACAATTTAAAAATTAAAAATTTGATACACCCAAAATTTTAGAAAAATAAACTCGATAAAATAGCTATCTTTAAATTTTCAAAAAAATTAAGTTTTTTTTTATCAAGGCATAAAAAAATTAATTTCAATATTAATATTTGTAGCCCTGTGAGTAATACAGAAAATATAAAACCTAATTGTATTATCTCCAGAGATATTACAATGGGTGCACTAGTGGACCATTCCGTATATTGGTATCAGTAATTTTTAAGTCGATAAAACCCAACGCCAACAATTAATATCATACTACGGTGGTGGATCCAGACCATACAATTTGAAGGAAGGTAGTGCAAAATCGTTTACAACAATAACACTTGATATAAATATTTTTAAATAATTGAATTTACTTTTTTTTTTATTTATTAAGATTTAAAAATGGTTCAGCATAACGCGTACTATTTCAATTTTTGTTACATTTGGAGCGTAACGAAGGACCTATTAGTTTTATTATGATATGAAGTTTTTATTTTTCTGTTTTTGTCCATAAACAATATTTTGAAAAATAAATCTTGCTCCAACATACGGAATGCAGCACGTTTTCTGAAAGGAAATTTTCTCTAGTCGGTGTATTAGAGAGGTAATTTCTGATTTTCGAAGGGGGGTTTTTTTCACGTTCTTTTTACAATAACACAATATGGCAAAGCTAGCTATAAACTAGACAGCAATGGTAATGGTTATAATAATTAAAATTCTTTAGTATTCATCTTCATCTTCTAATAATGATTCTTCGGCGAAATTGAATTTAAAAGTTATAATACCGTGCCCCACTACGGCGTTTGTGCCTCTACCGTTCCACCAAAATCCACCTCTGTCATACTTTTAATATGTTCACGCAAATATTTTTAAGCATAGCAGTGACTTTGTAACATCGTGTGTCTTTTTTGGAGATGAGAGGGGGAGCTAAACGGAAAAGTATACCGCCGTGGGTATTAAATAGTTTAACTATCTAACTATATTATTATCGTGACAATAAAATATAATACGTAAAGCTTAAAGGTAAACAGTAAAAAACACACCGTACGAGTTTGTCTTGCGAAGAATTATAATAATTTTAGTACGCACGATGGCGTGTTCATGAGTAAGTAAGCTTAGGAAAAGGCGTTAATAATATTTAAAAAATCAAGAAGTCTCAGCGGGTAAGAATTTAATGTAAAGCCGAGTGCGCGTTCAAGCATTTTACCTTCCATTCGGAGTCACATAAGGCAAAAAAAATAATAATTTTAATGATATTTTAACAGAATATACTAAATTAATTCGTTTCAATGCGGAATAATAATTATTCGTGCGAGTAAAATTGTACACGCTTAAATTTAAAAACCCAAACACCGCCAGGTGATATTTCGCCATTTTTGTGGGTGGGTAGTCGGTAAGGTAAGATGAAAATAAATTAGTTTATAAAATACACCGTATTCGGCAATTGACCATTGCAAACGAAAAATAATTCTGAGCGAAGTATAGTATTGGGAGTATATTTCCCATGTTGCCAGTATGTAGATAACACGGAAATCAACAAAAAATCAACAGCCTAAAACTAAACCCGTATCTATATTATTGAACATGTCGATATACATATTTTTAACATTTTTTTTAATAATTCGTACACTGCACCGGACAGTGCTAACGCCTTGGTTATACTCAAGGAATCTTAAATAGACCAATGTTCTGCGATTTCAATACGTCCTGCTGTTTGGGCGACAGATCAATACTATAGGTACATAATAGTATTCTGTAGTAAAATTTTAATATTTTATTCGGAACGGATTACAAAAAAAAAATCGTTTGTCGTTCGCAAAACTTGTATTACATATATTACGTCATATTATTATTTTTTTTTTCGCAATGTTTATAACCCGTCATCGCCGCCCTATCATATTTTTTCTGATTGCATATTGAATGTACTCAAACTTTTACACCCGGAACGTAAACTTATCAAATTTACACTGTAGGTACCTATAGAAATTGAAGTGTCACCTACACACACTTTCGGATGATATTATATATATATATATATACGTAGGTATGGTAAATACGCATTTTTTTGCCACCTTGTCGTCAATATATTATATAAGTGGGTGTAAATAACGAAAAATACATTATATTACACGTCAAAGTTCTCGAAGGAAAGGTTGACAACTCTGCGGTATTTTCGGTTTTGTAAATGTTTAAAATATGTATTTATTTTTTTTTTTATGTCATTGAAAAATTAAAAGTAATATCGTATACGAGTAGTTATTATAATGTACCAGCGGTTCTAAATACGAAATGTTATTTTGAGTAGAAAACCAAAAAAACGTTCTGAAATCACTCGCAGACGGATAAAACATTATGAATCCTAATAAAATTCCATAACCGCGAGCAGTGTCACACTCCGAATCGGTTAGATCACACCGGTGTGTCAGTGATTATAGACCTCATCCCCCTAAGATATTCGGTCGGAGGGGATATAATTTAAATGGATAACTGTAATGTTCCTGAACATAGAAATTTGACCACCTCGGTATAAATAGTGGAGCGAGGAATGTATTGGTTCTACAATGATAGCACTTTCTCTGAAATGGAGGAAAAATAGAAAAATGTACGAAATTTAAATATTAGTTAAAAATATTACGGCCTTTTTTTTCCCTGTAAATAACTTTTCTACCAGAAATTTTTCTCCGATTTACAATCATAGCACTTTTTCTGAAAGGAAATCTGACAGGAAAGGTCCTTTAAAAAGGTAATTTTTCGATTTTTCCAAGAATTTTCCCAGCAAATGTGAAAAACCGAGAAAAACACGGGAAGAAATTATGATAAGTGTATTGTACGATCGGTTTCGAATTAAAAATTTATCAAATATATCACAGCCGAAATGTAAAACGCAACTCTGCGAATTATTTTGACTGTGATATACCTGATGATGAATTTTCAATTCGAAACCGGTCGTATAATACACTTATCATAATACTCCAGGCGATGCATTGATTCATTTATTTATTTTAATTTTATGTATACATTTTTAATTTATTTTTTTTAATTACATGTATATTGTTGACAAAGCATCAATATCAATTGAACTCGCTCAGAATCGTTTTTTTTTTGTTGTTTACAGGTATGCGATAAATTACTAATAACATTGTCTGAGGACAGATTTTCTACTTTGCATATTATAATACAATATTTCCGAATGTATGTTTGGGAAAATCCGATCCGATCCTATCCGAGTACACGTTTATAAATTTCGAATATTTTTTTTTTTTTTTTTACCGAACGTTTTTATTTACGGCTCTGTTAACCCGTTATCGACGAGCGTTATTTTAACAATTATTACGTCTTAAACATATTTGGATGGACGTACGCATAAAGGCGATAGTACATAAATCGTCAACACCAGCAGCGTATATAAATACACAGTATAATAATAATAGTCTCTCGAGACTTTCCGAATAAAGCTGCAATAAGCTTAATATCGTTATCCCGTAAAGCCGTTGCCCGGATAAAATGTATTTTATTAATGTTGAAATACAGACTAAGAGAGTAAGAGATTTTATTGTATACATACATACACACACACTGTACGCTTACGTGGGAGCAAAGGCGAGTCTGTATACGTATATGAAGAAAATGCGATTTTCACAAAGGGTTTATAAAAAGTTAAATCTTATTTGGGCTTTATTGCGGTATCCGTATACACATAATAATATTCAAACGCGTGACTACATACTATACTGTAATATAACAATATGTATGCAAAATACGAACTACACTGATATAACGTATTAATAATATGTTTCGCGTAAAAAACGTCAACGTTATAGGTATTTTAATAATGTGCGACATTATGATATTATTATGAATGTCACGGGTATGAAATTACCATCTATATTAGATCCGACGGGGTTAGATTATTATGATTATTATTATTATACTATCGTCTCGCATACCCCTCGTACGATCCTTTAAGATCCCCTAGAGGTTATCATTCCACTTTGAGATTATCCTGTCGTTTTGGCACGGCGAACTCTTTCGGGGTCGAGTGTCTGGGAGTTTTAAATATTTGTACGGATATACGACGATGAAATGTTATTTATTTTTTTCTAACGGACATACGAAAACCATTTATTGTATTTTACGCGAAATATTCAAAAACAGTATTTATGGAAAATTACCTGATATTATACGGCTGACTTGTCGAATTCTATCTTCTCGTCTATAAAAAAAAAATACATAATCATTTTAAATTATTGCAAATGTAATAAACGTACTAAAAAATTGTACACATTACAATCGATTCGTACTACTTTCGACAAAAAATGCGATTGTGGAACTCACATATCACTAATTCAAAAATAATTATACTATATAATATACAGTATAAATCAGTAAAAACAATTTGATAACGCTAAACCGAAAGACCTAATGGTTAAAATACCTTATTATAATAAAATATTTCGGCCCTCAAACCAAAACAAGATAAAATGACTTAGAATACAATCTAAGTAACTAATAACAAGATCATGTGATGTTTAATTGAATCGTAAGCCCGAAATTCCGTCCAGAAGAGACTCGCGTCGTGAAAATTCCGAGAAAGAATCAACTGTTCGACTGCTGTCGGATAGTAATTTTAATTGGAATAAACCCGATCCTTCATGAAGTAATAGGACATGTAATAATTAAAGTTACGAAAGCCTCTATGCGATTTGTTGTGTTCAAATCCTAGCGAAAACATAAATATATAGCAAATGCGTCCATGTAGGAAGTACAGAATCTGTATGTGGGCTAAAACCCAACAAAATATGATAAAGAAAAAAACAAAAAAAATAAAAAACAACTAATTCGTAGAGGAATATATCTGTATAGGAAAACGTTAAATGTCATTTTAATGTTGTTTCGTTTTAAATTACGTAACTTGCTATGTAATGTTTATTAATCCGATGGACCATCGTCTCCTGAACGTGTTACGGATAATATATTTCGGCAAAATATGCCGAAAGCATGTGTTGCGAAGTCTATACGAGATCGATTTTAATTTTTTAAGAGAAATAATAATAAATTGTTTAAAATGTATCATTATACGAGAACATATCTGTTTAAACGTGTCGACGTGACGCGTTCTCCTCGTTTCGTCTCGGAAATATGTTCATACTGGTAAGCAGTTTAACTTAAACCCGACCGGTGATCAAAATTTAAATGAACACCGCCGCCCTTCGCTATTCCAATGTTGGGTTACGCAGTGTGAGTGTAGTGTTTTTAATTGAATGGCTCCTGGTTAATTCGATAGTTTAAAACAAACAGCGAAACGCGACCGGCTAAATAATCGAAAAACGGTTTTTGTGTCGGGTTAAAAACACATTTTCGGGTTTCGCCTGTACATTATACGGCCGTTTGCACGTAATTCGCTACGTTTTGGTAAAGTTCCAAAGGAATTAACATATACGCGCGGTTATTATTTATGTATATTTTATCGACTATATATAATATACATATGTATACAATTATATATTTATTACTCTAGACTTGGCTAAACAGCACGTTCCGCTTTCTCGTATTTTTTCAAATAAAGTTATCGCGATTTTCTTTTGTTTTGTTTTTTGTTTTTTTTTTGTTTATTTAAATCATCACCAGCCATTTTATCTTTAACACAATTCACTGGGCATACCATCATAATAATATAATCTTTTACCTATGCGGATTTTATTTAATTCAATCGCATAAACCAATAACCAATATCGGTGGTCGTGCGTGTTTTTTGTTTTGTTTTTTATTTAATTTCATATACGTTATCAACTGTAATTCTATATTAAACGTAGAACAATAATAAAATAACTATACCGTCGTCGTCGTCACGTGTAAAACTCACTCATTAGCCATCTCTTCAGGTTTTATCCTACCTATATAATAATATTATTATGTGTTTAGACGAAGGGGAGAAAATAATAATTGAAAAACCAATCAACTACCGACAAAATAGGTTTATTTTGAGATTTTCCGGTCTCTTGTATTTTATTTCCGCACACGCACGTTTACAATAACCTTTGTGTGCGTTATATTAAAAAGGTTTCCGGGTTGTTTACGAGTTGCCGACGTGGTTTATAAGAGCAAGAGAGAAATAACGGGGGAGAGGGGCGAGAGAGTGAGAGAGAGAGACAAAAAGAGGAGACGACGTGACGCCAAAAAGTAGACATTGGCTGCTGCAAGCATCCCGGCGGCGTCGACGACCCCACAGAGATTGCCTTTATCGAGGGTCAAGTGGTGTTGGCACGAAATTCATTATTCGCATTAACCAGTCTGCAAACGTCGCGGACAATAATTCCTGCTTATTAACGCCACTGCTCCTCGTTGAATTATATACCCTATACCACCTCCCCCCCACTCTTCCGCATCGTCACCGTTTTTAATATATTAATATTGTAATGGTTTTATATAATCGTTCTGTTCAAATTATATAACATCAACAAAAAAAATTTTAAAAATACCTAGGTTAGGCCACTGATGTTGTTGGGTAGTTGGGAAGGTGGGTTATACGAGGTAATTTAGTTTATACAATGTATGAGAAGAGCGTGGTAAACTGGTAAGTTTCTAATAAATAAGTCTGTTTTTTTTTTACTCGTGTAACCACGGTAACCCAGAAATCAACAAAAAATTATAATAATAAAAGTGTATCCGAGAATTCGAGTTTGGTCTCAAATTTCACTATTTACGTAATTATCACATACGGAATTCTATCAATTGGTATCTATCATATCTATTGATTATCTTGATGACACATTAACTTATCTAGATACATTTTATTTAAATTATATTCCATTTTCATAAATAATATTCATTTTAGGTTTTGAATTTAGGGAAGAATGTATTAATTTGTGCCTTAGTTTTACAAAGAAATTCTTTTATTTTTATTTTTTTCTATGAGAACACATTTTCTACCAGAAAGTTTACTCCGATTATTAAGTAGATATAGCACCTTTTCTAAAAGGAAATATTCTCTGGGTGGTACTTTGAAGATATCATTTTTTGAAATTCTCATTTATGTTCGAGATAATGAGGAAAACCTGATTCTTTAAATTAAAAAAGATTTAAAAATTAAAAATAAGGTTGTCATTGACATCGTTTTTATTTATTTTTTGTTATTATTAAGTTTGTATTATTTTAATATTTTTTAAACAATCATTGTTGTCATCGAAACACACATTGTTATAATCATTTTACCATATTTTTGACAAAGCATCACTATCAACTGAACTCCTCTCAGAATCATTTTTTGGTTAGCAATGGTTTATTGTTATTTACAGGTATACATTAAATTCTCGTCTGTACCCTACCTTCCCAACTTTCCATCTACAACAGTGGTTTCACCCAAAGGCAAGTATGCCAGTCATTTTTTTTTTTCTTTATAAAAGTTAGATTATATTTATCTAATCTTGATAATTTTAAAATGTATTTATCTTTATCTGTATCCAGATATATTTATATACAATTATCTGTATCGTATTTAAATAAAATTTTCGTTATCTATTTTTAACATTGATCCTACCTTTTTAAAAACTAAAGTCTATTCATGATCATTTTTCTGTTTGTCTTTTTTTTTTTCAAACCACATATATAACTGTTAATATAAAATAATATGTCCCTGTATAATACGCACGTCGGAAAAAGTTTCCAGAGGGATTCTCGGAATGCAGGAAACTCGAATACAAAACAGTATAATGTACACATGTAGTGATGCTAGAACGTATTGAAGTTAACCAAACAGTGCGGCGTCGTCGGTAGAGACTCCGGGGTTTGACCGCAGACATTTTCTTGATGCGCTGACAACGGTTTTAACGACTACAGTGTTGCAGGCTTTAATGAAGCCTTCGCGAATTATTATGAAACTTTCTCGCCAAAGGTGCCCGATGTCAAAAACTGTTTGTTTATTTGCGCGAGTTAGGAGTTAAGGCAAATTGCAAAACTTCTGCAGCGATGATAATTGGCCGGAAAATTCAACGTCGTCAATCGCGGAACTACACACAATCATAATTATCTTAATTTAGATTTCACACCTGCTTGTGTACAACAAATAATATTTTTTAATCAGTCCCAATCGGCGAACTTTCCTTTTTCGTTATGTTTATATATTTATTTAATTGGATACAACATGTTATATTTCATCCACCGGTTAATAGTTAAAAGTCAAAACAATATATCATATTCGACTAACGAAAATAGCAAAACACTAAATTTTCTAAAAGACATATATATTTTAAATTAACTACTAAATAAAATGTGTCACTTGGCGTATTTTAATAATAAATTTTTATAAATATTCAATTTGGTGGAGGCAACCGTTATACACGTCAACTAAAAGAAAAATGTCTGTTGATATTAAAACGATTTTATCGGTAGCTATATCGTATCCCATTAATATTGATATTTATTTCATTGTTCCGGATAAAATAACATTTTTATGGTTTATTTACCAAGCATTGAGTCACAATTGTTATAAACGTAATAAGAATTTATTTTCTGTCCCGTAGATTTCAATGAAAATTTCTAAAAATAAAGGTGAAACCTAACACAATCTGCGCGTTTGTCTAATATACTCAAATTAGAATTTATATTTTCGCAACCTGCAGCTATTGTAACATTTTCTAGTGTGCTGTACCTAAATTCCGATTCGAAATGTATCGCATCTACAAAATGTATTCGTTTTAAATATTTTTTTCATCTGTGTATTTTTTCCATCAATATAATTTTCTATGGAAAAATTAGATAATTTATCCCGCTTGCTTTTTTTTTTTAATAATATGCCTCACAAACTTTAATACTTCGATGTGTCTAAATATCGTAGCATACTAGCAAGCTATAACATCTTCTCTTGCATCTTTTCTCTTTTCCTCTTTTTACTTCCTTTACGTCTGCTGTCTATATAAAATCATCGGAATTGTATGTTGTTGTCTCATCCGTGCAGCCTTCTCCTACTATATCGTGACCGGATCCAAAAAGTCTATCGCGTGTAATCTAAACCGATTGGGCGACCCGGGCTTTTAGTGTAATGTTCTGGCGATGTGCTTTACTCCAATGGCTGCTGCAGCAGGAAACTAGATAGCCTCCGGGGCCTCGGTTTTTCCGACCCATTAGTGACGCCGAAGGTCGTTATTATACGGGGAAAAAGAACTTGACAACGACAACGGTGGTGCTCTAAACAATGGGTTATAGTTTCGTGCAGAAGTCTATACCGCGATGCCAAACATGATGTGAAAATGGCACAGGACGACAAAAGATTATGACATTAATAACGGACGATGTGATGGGCGGCCCGTGGTTATTTGGCCAGGGGAAATGGACACTTTTTCCGTAATGGACGTCAAGTGGACTCTGTGGCGAGACACTTCAATAAGAAATAGCACTCGCGATTAAAGTGAACCTTCTTTGAGGTCGTGTACACGCGTATACAAGACATATGTTGCGTTTTATTTAGATAGCGTAGAGCACAAACAAAAGCGCCGAGTGTGTCAGACACATCATAATAATTTCTTCTTCGTAATAGTTTTAAAAGTGAAAGAACGTACACACAAACATTTGACCGCATTTTTTAAAAGATTGTTAATTTTTTTTAAATATATCATTGGTACTACTAATTTATATTTAAATCCTATTGACAGTAAAAATATTTAGGCTTACAAATTCTGATTGATAATAATTGCATGTGCTGTTTATTTCTCTAGGTAAAATACTATTGATAAAACTGAAATGTTTTAATTTTAACTAGGCAGATAAAAAAAAAAAAAATAAAAATTCAAATATGACTGTTATGATAAACTTTTCGGATGAGTATTTAAATATTCTTTAAAATTGAAAATAAATATCATTTGTAGTAGGTATTATAAAGTAGTAGGGATCATAAATAGGAACCAGTAAATTATAATATTATTATTATCAAATTTTAAATGCTTATGAAGCAAAAGAAAAATAATCCTAGTCTGCATTTAGTGTTATATTTTGTTTTGGATTTGTTACAAATTCAATTATTTTTTTTTTTGTTTAAATTTTTACGAAAAGTTTACAAATCACTGTACTATATTCCGATTTATGTGGATTCAATATTTTTAGTTTAATGAAAATGCTCAAAAATTTAAGATAAAAAAAAAAAACAAGGAGTATCATAATTGAAATTTTTTCTGTAGTTAATTAAAAGTAGAATTTACGTTTATCAAAATATGTTGAACCTCTCTAAAATTTTTTTTTCGTTGAGAATAATAATTTATTGTTGGGTAGAATATAACAGTTTTATAGAATATAAATATGACGTTTTTTTTTTTTTATATATATATACATAAATATATTATGAGCGTATAACAAGAATTGTATCGGTTTTACTATGTTATGTGTACTTTTTTTTTCCAGAATCCGGGATTTGTCATGTCTTTTGAAAAATAAAAATTAAAAAAACCATTTTAACATAATATCCGTGGAAGGGATGATTATGAAGGGAAGGGTAAATGTAATTTAAAATCTTGTCGACAGTCGTGCCTTCGTTGTTTTCGATTTGCGGTGCCGGTGGAGGGGCGATGTCGGTGACACGTGTGCCCTGCTGTACACACCCACGTCAAAAGATTAATTTACTCGCGTGACACTACACCGACGCGTTGTTTTATTAATTACGAAATGTATATTATATCAGCAGCGTAATCATAGGGAGGGATCTGGGTCTCCAATCCCCCCTAAGCCCCCCTTTTTTTTGTGGCACTATTATATAATTTTGAAACAAAAAGTAATCGTTTTAACGGAGATTAAATAATTACTTTCTGGTATCTCATTAACAGAAACGTTAACTCATTTAAGTATAAATAGAGCAAATGTTAGTAATATATTAGAAGACAAATGTTAACCTCTGTATAATATTGTAACTCAAAAAATATTTCCATTGGCTCTAAATCCAAAGAAATTTAATTTATCATTATAGTTTTCTAAAAAAATTACTCGAAATTAAGTATTTATACGTATAGTAATTAAAGTAATATCTTTACTAAAAAAAAAAATGTTCCCGCATTGTCAAATAAAAGTACAAGGAGAAAAAGCGAGTATCTCGATGCATCGAATATGGACGAAATTTTCCGGAAAAAAGTTCTCTTATAGGTTTTTAATTGGAATGAGATTACTGGTCGAAAAGTACTGGTCAGACATACAGTAAATACAAACAAAAGTACGCATCAAATAGTGTAACCAATTAAATGCGCTTACAATCTAAAGAAGGGAAAAAAAGTCACTGGTGTCGATACTAATAATATTGTGTTATTATTATTTACATTAATTTTCGACAGTAACTATTACCACGGACTTGTTTCGTTCGGTATCTGATGATATACACAATAGCAAAATTATATTTACTCCTTGGAAAGTTTTCGGTATAATTTCATATAAGCTTTATTATTATTATTGAGAATGACGACAACGACGGAAATTGCGGTAACTATTATTATATATACCTACCTTTCGGGACACAATGAATCGCACCCCAAAAAGGGAGGATCTCCTCAACCCCGGCCCTCCCTTCTTCTCCCCCGTCCAGAATTCTGCAGCGGTGCGAACACCGTGGATTACAGTTAATTCCTTTCGTCGCGTTGTCGTCGGGTTCTACAGCACGTAATCAATCACACATTTCGCTCGGTGGCGTCGTCCGAGAGATTATCGTGACCATTTTTGCACTGCACATTTTATCGAGATAACCCGTCATGGTGACGATGTTATAATCGTGAAAAATATGTATCGATCGTTTTACTGACGACGACGTGAACACAACACAAAAATGAACGAAAGCGGACACATTTATTATCTTATAAACATTCAAAAGATAACTTTCCAGTATTTTGTCAGGAATAATAATATTTCAGACGCAGAAACGGTAATAACTTCTGCTAAATTCTACTGTGGGTCTGGCCGCATTTACGATTTATACTATCAATACTACTATACAATTTCTGTTCCTCCCCCATTTATACGGATGCACCCATAAATTTAAACACTTTCTTTAGTTTCCTTACCCCGATATCGGTTAAGCAATAGCGGATCAGACCTTGATTTTGAGGAGGGAGCAAAACCGTTTTAATCAAAGTTGGTATATATTTGACCACACAAATTAATATTATAGTGTTGCTCATCCTGGATTCGTCACTGCGCCAGAGATAACTGTTCCTTTTGTTCAAGCCCGAAATGCACCACTAAAGTTAGGCACGTTTATTCTTTAAAACACCGCGGTTGTAAATGTTTTGATTTAAATTCGAATTTATAATGGAATCTTAAATAAATATAACAAATAAAAGCAAATAATATTTAACGTGTCAGTTGATTAGCATAATACCAATACGTTAGATTTTCAATACTTTTGCCATACGTTTTATATTGACTATTATTCAATCGCTCATTTAGAATATTATTTGTCGAGAACAATTTAATTTCAAAAAAATCTTTTTTTTTATTTTTTTTTTTATCTAAGAAATGTACGTTCTAAATAAAAATTCCAGACACGATCGAATGAAAAATTATATAAATATATATATATATAAATGTCGGCTATTTTTACAAAACGCTGCAGTTCCTCGATGCCAATCGCATCGTGTGATACATATTGTGTTATATTATGGATATAAAAAAGAAAAGACCCGATTTTTATATGACCTATTTGTCATCTAAAAAAAATGAACCCAATTTGTGTCAAATATATTTTTATATCGATAAATATAGGTGCAATATATCTATGCAAGCGAATACAAAACGCGATTTGTATTATGGCATTATATGATATGAAATAAATATATTCACTATAGGGTCGGTAAATTTAACAGGACAATGTGAAAAAAATATTTCAAATACTACTGATGGGTATGTAACTGCTGTCAAAGGGAACTTGGAAGGAGAGGAAACACAGTAGTTCAAATTGATATCTGTAGCAAAGACGCAAAGACAAACAATCGGTAACAAAAAACGATTCTGAGCAAAATATTATTAGTGTTATTAGTTATATTTTTCAATTTTTGCCGATGTAGCCCGGAAAATAATAAAAATTGCACAAAATATTTACAGTTTTGCCAATTTATTAATACAACTGTCATAGCAATCAAAAAATAACCCCCTCAATTCACCGATTAGATGAAACATGTAAGAAATAAGTTAATATACAATATTTTGATTGAAGCTAAAGTTTTGGTAGAAAACGTTTTTATCTACAAAAAAACCAATACATTCGTATTGTATAATTTATTTGTCTTTTTGAATACAATATTCATTAATTCAAATATGTAAAATTAGTTGTATAAGTTTAAACTATAGACATATACATAAGAAAGATAAATTAAGTTTTAACATGCTATTTATTTACATTTTAATGCAATACAATTTAAAACATAATAAACTAGACAACTCATACAATAGGTAACAAAATCGTTTTGTGTAGGTACACCGAACAAATAGTGAAATCAGAGAATATAAAATCAAAGACGTTTTAGATTATAATATTTTCCTGTAGATTTTAAAATTTTTTTTTTCCAAATCCTTAAAATCGAAACGTGTGATTTTATACGAAAGTATTATATAAAACAATATTAAATGGTAAAGAACGAATTTTTTTTTTTTTTAAGGTATCTGGTTGCGATTCATCACTTCCCCTGGCCGTGTCAAAAGCCATTAATCAATTTGTTTTATCAACGTATAAAGTTTTTAAATTCAAAGTGACAACAAACTCGCCTGTATAGTATATACGCATTTCCTTAAGTATGCTATTCTTATGCAGATGTTCTCCCGACTTAACGGTGAAATATGTTTGTTCGATATTTGTTTACAATAAATAAATAATTTCTAAATTCTGGTAAAATGCGTTGTTAAATTATATCTATACTTTCAGAACGAATACTTTAGAAACTTTGCGTAACCTACTGTATATTCTACCGTGGTCAACAATTTGGGGGTTACACGGAACCACTTAAATAATTGTCCAAAATTTCGTTTTATTTTTAAAATTCTGACCGCAGATATGATGTGTTTTTTTTTTGTAAACAAATTTTCTACCAGCAAAAGTTGCTTCAATTTTGAAGATTAGCATCTATTTTTAAAATAAATTGTAACTAATTTGTATATTTGAGTGGTAGTTCTTTAATTTTTCTAATATATGAGAAAAAATGGAAAATATATGGCTAAAAGAACGCTATTGGCAATATTGAAGAGCGATAGATAGATCACCTTTCCCCCCACCCATAAAGCTACAACTGATTAATGAAATAGTAAAACTAAAATTATATTTGATCACTACGTTTATTATTCTGAATATAAAACGTTAGGGTTGATATTTTTTTACGTTATGAATCATGGAAATTCTATCAGTTCTAAAAAATATTCAAATATTATATAAACGATAGTTAACAAAAATGTGAAGTGCGCAGAAAGCACTGTTGCTTAACGTGGATTTGACGTACGATTTTTTGTTCCGTTATATGCTGTGGAAAATTTACACTAAACGTGTTCAGGTATTCGCTTTTTAAATATTATAATTAACGACACAACGACGTCTAATAACATTACGAATGTGTGTACTACAATATTACGGTTCTGTTGAGTTTGAATTATAGAAAAATACGTACATTTTTTTTTATTCCATTATATTTTAGCGAACGCACGCGTGATAGATCGCAAAGAGAGATAAAGAGAGGAAGAGTGTGTGAGAGAGAAAGCAGAGAGCTCTGTGCACACACATTAATAATAATAATAATAATAATAATAATATAGCAATAGTGTGTGTGTGTGTGTGTATTTGCAAGCGTGCGCGCAGTATTTTCGCGTATTTTAACGATAGTTTTATGCTAAATACTATATACTGTACAATGTGCTTAATCTTGGCGCTTTCGACGGTAGGGGGGGTAAAGAGAAACCTCCCCTGTCACCGTCATCGTCGGTAATGTAATCTCGGGCATCGCTTTAAAATCACGCGTGAATATGAATGTTTACCCACGGTGGCGGCGCGCACTGATCCCGGACAACATTTTACCGGAGAGGTTTTCCATAAATGTATAATACTATTACGGTGTATATACTCGTATATGTACGCGCGTGTGTTACCGACATAGGTATATTTATCCAACCTAACCTATAAAATAATATGTACGCGTGTCTACGCGAGTATACGTAGGTATATAGGTACGTATATTTATATATAACGACACGAGTGCTGCTGCGGAAAATCCGTAGAGGGTTTATTTTGCTCGTTTCGCGGATTAAACGCTTTCGACGGTGTTTGAGAAACGTCGACGCCGGGTGTGTGCGTGTAAAAAAAAACACGCCTCGTTAAAAAATATAAAATAAATAAAAACCACATCTATATAATAATAATGTACCTAGGAGGTACCTATATATTTAATACCTCGTATATCGTAATATCAACACCGTGATCCGGCCGGTAATGCCTCTACGATAATGCCTCTCGTATTATGTAAACGTTACACTGCCACAGGCCGTCTCCGGGAGGGATCGACGAAAAAAAATTCCTGATTCCCTGATAATACCCGTGTAAGCAGGTATTATGCGTACGTAATAGCGTATAAGAAGATATCGGAATGAAATGCTCATATACCGAGAGAATAAGTTGCACGCGATATACATCCTCGACGTTATAGGTACACGACTATACGTGCTCTCGGCACCGTTCGCGAAATATCGTCGAGAAAAACTTGCTAAAAATAAGTCAATAAAATCGCTATAACGTCCGCACGGATTTATCGAGTTATACCGCGGCCCGAGAATTAAAAATTAACTGGCACCGAACGAAGTCGCCGCAATATACAACGAAATAACCGCAATCGTGCGTGTATAATAATTTAATATCAAATTTCCCCTGTACAAACGCAATGTGGAAAACGATTCGATAACGTTCGTTTCCGGGACTAGGTCATTCAATCGTTTATTTGCTAGCACAGGACACATGGTACTTACGTACCCAAAGTGACAAATAGACTTTACCGTGTGTTTATTCGGACACCGAAACTTCATTTAAAAAAATGCCATATAGAAAACGTAGAACAAGTATAATTTCAAGAAGAAATCGTTAAGTTAGCAACTAAAAATAGTTACGATTACGTCCTATTACCCAATACCTGCTAAGATCTACTACTGTTGGGAGTACCTATACGTGTGTTCATATTTTATTCTTTGAACTTTAACCTTTCATACAACTCTTACAGTATTAAAAGGCTACGCGGAGTAATAGGCAAACATGTTTCGTCGAAAACTTGAAGTTAGGTTATTTTTTTTTTATCTTATATATACTTTAATTCAAAACGCTTACCGATTCATGAAGTGAATGTCGCGTCAAAATAGTCGTCAAAACACCTAAAATAAAAAAAAAATGTATATTATATAATATAACCATCAAAGAAAAAAAATATGTATACGCTTATTACAATATTTTAAGCTAAGACTTAGATTAATTATAACGTAGTTCAATAATTTCTTGAGTAAAAAATGATGTTATTACCTATATATACCGAAAAACTCTGAGTATTTTGGCATTTTTTTTTTTTTTTTTTTTTTTTTTTTTATATTGTTCAATGATTTATAAGAGAAATGTATGCCTATATCTACTTATGCGACAACAACTTAAAAACGTGAGATTTACGTATGCCTTGAGTAGCATACGAAGCAGGTAGATTAATTTTAATATTTTTTCTTTCTTAAGTCTCCTCCATAATACGGCAATCGTTAAAATATTAATGGATCGTTTTAGATAAACTTGAAAAGATACCCGGGAGTGCTATATAATTTTGATTAATAACGTACTATAGTTGCCAACGAAAAACCAGCAATATGATCTGGCGATGCTTTGTCTAAAAAATCTGTTGAAAACTTCTTTCCCCCGACTGTTCCGGTACGCAAAAAAAAAAAGGAAAAAAGTTTCAGTAACGATCATTAAAAGCTACCTACCTGCTATAATTATGTACTACTCGGTATGTAACTTATTTCTTTTCGGGAGGGCGTTACGAAGAAATAAAGTTATGATGTAATAATTTATTTTTAAGATGAGAAACAAGACGTCTTTTATCGTCCGTAGTCCGAATTGTAATCAAAACACACCGAGCCCACTGTAGTATAGTTAGAAGTATAAAACGGATAATTAATGTATATCCACTGCATACCCATTTCCTTTAGCAAAAAAAAAGGTCCACCAGCAGATGGACCAAACATTCCCCTTAAATTTTGACCTTTTCTTCCTTTCCCCGCATCAATAAGTGTGTTTCCAAAATAAAATAAAATATTTCGTTGTAATCATCAACTGATTCGATAATTTACCATTTATTTTCTAAGGTAAACACAGTAAGCGAAAATGCACTTTACTGGGTGTCTAACGAACTTATGTCTCCATTCGAACACAGCAAACCTCATTAAAAATTCTCCCGGTCTAAAATTTAATGATTGTTATAAGTGGAACAGAATACGTCGTGAAAAAAAAAAACAAAAGAATTATCAATATAGACGATAATCGGGATTCTTGGAATGTGAAATCTTAATGTTTATTTAAAATCGGGAATGTGGATCTTGAAACTTCAATTCTTTTAGTCCTTTTATCGTAAAATTTAATCGAATGGTTTTACATTTTGAAATCCCGAAATTGGAATTCTCGTACTTTGAAATCCGTATTTCCGGATTATGTCACGTCTCTATATATACCCGCTACATTATTGCGTACCCTCGGCGACTCGATTTCGGCGATAAATTCAAAGATGCGGTAGAAGTGTGTAATTGACGACCGAACACGTTCGCTCTCCGTACCCGAGACATCAATTTCGATCGCGGACATTTTGTCAACCCGGCCGACCCAAGAGGAGCGCAAGCTTTGGGGGATGGGGTATAGGGGAGCCAGGGGGAAGCTAAAGTGACCGGTCGTTCGTCTTGACTCTTGTTTTATTGGTTTTATTTTATCACGCGCGGCGCGTCTCGGCCGGCCGCCGGGGCGGGGGATCGATGGTCGACGACATCTGCGACCCGGACGGGAGTTCCATCAATGCCACGCCGTGAGAACGGCACTATAACAGCCCCGCACGCATTACGGGCGTACGTAGAACGGCGGGGGTGCGAAGTGGATGGGGGTGCGGATGTGAGGCGAACATAACCTAATTCGGTCGGCACTTGCCCGCGCGGTGAGTTATGTCCGAGCACCAGGTGACGTTGTTAGCCGGGGACTGCAGGGGAGCAAGGCCCCCGAAAAACTTGGCCGATATATTATCGCGTGTAATATACGAGCAGCGCCGGCGACGTTTAAACGGGTTAAAAGTTTTCGCGATATCGCGCGCGAACGTGTGCGGGAAAACGTTATTTCGGGGTTTTTTTTTTATTATAATGTATGACGCATAGGTAGTGTGCGCGCGCGTGTTTTTTTTTTTTCATTTTTTTCCTCATCGGAAAAACCGAAGAAATCGAGAGGATCGTCGCACGTCGTCGTGTGTGACGTTTTAGATTAATATCCTCGGAGAGCGATACACGAGAAAAGACGAGAACTGCAGCGAAACAACCGAAACGATTGATCGTAAGGGCAATCATCGGGTGCCTAGCTTTATAACGAGTGGCGTTTCTTTAGGAGATGATACATAATGTACGGGGGGGGATCTCCGTTTAAATTGATAGTATTATTTTATTTCAATGATAAAAAAAAAAAAACATTGAAATAACACGTTTGAAAAACGGTCTTTTTTTTCAATAATTAACTGCAGATAATATTAGCATATTTACTGATGGATTTCATTTAATTTAAATTCCACGTATACAAACGTCGTACATTAAATTTCACTCCTCGTTCGAAATGAAGGAGGCTATGAAACGGGGAGGGGGGATAGGAGCCTTATGTACACTCGCACACCATTGCACTATTCAGAAGACACGCGCTTCGCCGCCGAACAAATAATGATCCGCTATACTCTCTCGATAGGTACGCCATAAAAAGACGAACTTTAAAGTGGAACATTTTATTAACGGATAGACGGGTATTTGAATTAAATTTCAACACCGTTATTTATTTAAAACGCGTCTATTTATCGACGCCCGATGTATGGGTTAGTATTTGAAAACAAAAAGTGTGAACAGTCCTCCCCTCCCTAAAAAAATAAGGTCGATAAAAAAATAACGATAATGAAATATCTTAGAGCCGCTTGTTTCTCAAATTTTTTAAAAGAACAAAAAATTAACAATTTCCCAGAAATAGATTAGTGCCTTACGTTATGTCGATAACCCCGTAGACATTAGACACAGTTTGCATACATTTCTGTTTCGCATTTATAATATAAAATTATATTGTAACTACAATAATTAAATTGGAATTCTTTTCGAACAATAATATTGACCGGGCGCCTTGTGGGTGTGAGGGAGGAATTATAACTAACCTCGTAAAATGTTTGCGCCCCTTGTAAGAAAACCGAAATGGCACCCCTGTTTGAAGAACGTGGTGTGTAAATATTATTTTTTTCACAAAAGTATAGACTATAATTATTGAAAACTGAGGGAAAAAAAAAAGTTTACGATACGGAAAATTCGATTATTTTTATTTATTGAACTTGTGCGGTATATGGACAGCAGCTAGCCATCGGAGCGAAATATAATAAAAATTGATTAAAAGTATACAATAAATAATTACAAGTACGCGATATACGAGATAGACGATAGATATACCTACTCTTTCGTCTTCGTCTTTGTGCGGTGTATAACAATCGAAAACGAAAAATAATAACTATATAGTTAGCCGTCTAGCGCGTATAAAAAAAAAAAAAAAGTTTGTTTATTGAGAAAGTTTCGGATAAATATTTGCCCGACCGCCGCCGTGTCCTCGCCCTTTTATAAAGAGGGATCGTCACTCGTTTGAAAACGCGAGAGACAGAGAGAGAGAGAGTGAGAGAGAGCGGACGGGCGTGGGCGCATTTAATATTTCCTTCCGGGCTTACGAACAATAATTATTACTTCCGATGTTTAGTTATTGCGATTATAAGCAAACAATATACTAAACTTTTTCCCGCGACCCCGCAATAATATAACATCGTACATTTATGTATAAAACCTATACTCGTCCTACTCGCACAACCGCTGTCGGTAGCATAGATGCACACTTTCCGCTATTTTTCTTCTTCGACCCTCGACCCGACGTGACGTATTATTATAGGTGTCCGGATTTGGTGCGATCGACGCGTATACAGCGATCGGGGATTGTTGTGTGATTTGAGGGCGGACGGCGGCGTTTCCGTAATTAATCGACCCGCGTCGGTCCGGTAACCGTGATTAGGGTATGTGTGTGTGCGTTCGTGTGCACGTGTATGCGGGCGGTATATGAACCCGGAACGTGTTTTTTTTTTTAAGCGTTTAACAGTAAAATATTTTCGAAAAACGAAACGTGTCCGCCGTCTTGTTCGTTAGTTTTGGTATTATCAGTTATACTATATTACTGTATGGCACGTGTGACGATTATTCTATTACGTCTGCGGTCCGAACGCAATAGTTTCTACCGGAAATCTTACTCCGATTTCAAAGTGTTCGAATGAAAATGTTATCTAGTCGGTGCATTGATTTCCCTTGTGGTTTTCTTAGTAAATATAGAAAACACATAGAAAAAACCGGC